GGGGGTACAAGCAAACCGTCCCGCTTGAGCATAATTTGTAAAAATATCTGTAACTATCCTCCTCTTTTAGGTAGAATCACTTTCAGCACTTAGTCGGGACGTTACTCTGACCATTTGGATCCATGTGCTACTCTCGTTAAAGATGCCATCATAACTCTATAAAAATTGTGCACAACTGACTACTGTTTGAATAATAATCTTTCTTGTTTCTCCGAGATAGTACGTAGTTTGTGGATAGGGCAACGTCAATTTGTAATCACGAATTCCCTGGAGGAAGATTGTTCATCAGCACGACGATATAATTATTCCTATCCCGCTAGTCCGAGACTACCTTTATACACGACTCCATCCTAACTCACAATCAGTTCCGTATAGAAAAGGGTAAAGATCAAGATCTATTATCGGTTAGAAACAAAACTTCATATTTTAAATTCCACACTGTCACGAAACTCTTCTGTTGCATTGTAATCTCTGCATGTAGCTCATGTTTATTGATTCTTCTCAATGTACATACAACACTCTACTGATCAGATATATTTTCTAACATCCAGCATGCCTTAAGCTGGGCTCCTTCTAATAATATTGTATTACGTAATAGGACAACGTATTGCTGTTCATATTTTATTAATAAAACTCACGTTTATTGTTCTGTCATTGACTGTTCCGTCAAACTCATTTCCTATATTCATTCGCCGAGACTTACGGCTCGAACCTGCAGCCTTGTATGCGCGATCTGCAGAACCGCAAACACCTGTATACAGGGTGTTTCTTAAGTCCCTGACAGGAGACATGCCGTTAGATCCGGCGTGAAAAAGTAAAAATATTCGCGTCAACAATATTCAAAATGTTTAATTAGTTTATTAGTTATTACGGATTAAAGTAAGCCAATCATAAGCGCGTGAGAACTAGTAACTCCTCCTCAGTCTCCTCCTATTGGGGAAAGCCAATAATTTAATTCCCCACAAAAACAGTGACCGATGGATACGTAAACAAATATAGTAATGTAAATAAACAAAAGAGTAACGGAAATAAACAAAAGAATAATGCAAAATCTTTTTTGTGGGGAAATAAATGATTGGTTATCCTCAATGGGAGGAGACTGAAGAGGAGTTACCAGTTCTCACGCGCTTATGATTGGCTTACGTTAATCCGTAATAATTAATAAACTAATTAAAAATTTGGAATATTGTTGACGCCAATATTTTTATTTTTTCACGCCGGATCTAACGGTATGTCTCCTGTCCCGGGCTTAAGAAACACCCTGTATAATACCAATCTGCCAATGTAATCTGCATATAAATGAGTATAGCTATCAAAATATAGTATAAACAATTTATGTATACAAGTATAATTTGTATGCTATAAATATAACAAGAGTGCTCCAACTATAAATCTATTAATAGTATTGTAATATCATTTGCATATGCTAATAAAACATGTGGACTTGGAAGATCCAATTGACTTAACTGCCTGTTCTTTTGTGTGACGTTTAAAAGATATATTTCCTGCTACCATGTGTTTATAATAAATTTGCAGTGAAGTCTATGATACTAAAAATTGAAAGTAATATATGTATAAGTAACTATGAGCAGTGACATTTATGATTGCTACATATACAGTATCGATATTCATATTTATATTTTAAAAAAATATTTGTTATTTATTTGTTGTTCTAATTATTTTACAATTGCAGATCAGTTACTTGCTGTGAGCAACTCATCAAGAATACTCGGTCGGTAATCCTAAGCAGTAACATATGGTTTAAAATACTAGTTTTTCTAGTACTTTAGCACGAAATTTTCTAGTAACTTTTTCATTCTAGGCTTTCAACTTTTTTAGGAATAAATAGACGATTTACTTTCAATTCATCTGATCTGTGAGCAAGTCCCTTACCTGAAAGCTAACGTAGAAAGTTGCACCAGGGTTCACATACTGGAAGTAACAATCCTCTTTGCCAGGATCAATATGGACCTTGTAGTCCATCGCAACAGCCGGCAAATTTTCATACCAGGGTCGCGTTGTCTCTGAACTTGTAAGTCCTATGCAAAGAACCACCAGGACGATCACAGGGACACAAACATGTACCGTTACACCCATTGCACTCTTATGAACATTACTGACACTACTGACAAGTTCGTCGTTTTACCTACTTGCCATGTTTCATAGAGGTCAGGTTTGTCGGATCGTGGTTCCAGTTGTGTACTAAAGCTGAAACCATGATGACCTCATATTGATTGAACTTGATTCAATATAATTCCGCCAGAGGTTATTATCATGGTGGAAGCAGGTAGGTGTCGCGGTCATGGAGACTAGCAGAGATGAATAGGGAGATGCACAACGCTACGATTTTCGGCAGAGATGAGTGGGGAGATGCACAACGCTCCGGTTTTAGGCGATACCAAAAGCATGGCGCTAAATCGTAGCGGCGAGTCCGGGAGTAGGATTTCGTGATCATCGCCTCTGTCGATGTTGCGGGTTTCGCGAGGTACGCGAAATCTGTAACATCGACAGAGGCGATGATCACGAAATCCTACTCCCGGACTCTCCGCTACGATTTAGCGCCATGCTTTTGGTATCGCCTAAAACCGGAGCGTTGTGCATCTCCCCACTCATCTCTGCCGAAAATCGTAGCGTTGTGCATCTCCCTATTCATCTCTGCTAGTCTCCATGACCGCGACACCTACCTGCTTCCACCATGATAATAACCTCTGGCGGAATTATATTGAATCAAGTTCAATCAAGTTCTTTCAAAAGAACGAATACAGAAGTAATTTTTATGCTCGGTGAAGAGTTTGTTTCATGAATTACAATATTGGACATATAAATTTAATGACATTAAATTTGAAGAAATATTTTATGAATATCGAAAGTCTTATGTCAAGATTTCTGCATAAGATTGAGACCTGAATACAAACGAAAGACGTCTAACCTTCAAGTGAATAAAACAAACAACCATTTAAAATCACAGAAATTCAAGTATAATGTCTGAAATAGGGAACAATACTCAGCAAGAGGTTCCTGAACCTCAGGAACCATCTGAAGAGGATAAGCAATTCCTGTTGGACTATGTCAAAGAAACGGAACAGAGACTTGCTGCTAAGGAAGCTATACGAACAGCAAATTTGAATGTAAGCCGACCACCTGATTCCTATTTCAGCAAACTAGATTCTAGTCTCAAGAAAAATACAACTTTTGTGAAGAAGCTGAAAAACTTTAATGCTGCACAACTCGATGCTTTCCTTAAAGACATGGCTAACTTAAATCTGACAAAGTATGTTAGTGAGGTAGCTATTGCTCTTGTGGATGCAAAATTAAAAATGACTGATGTCACTCCTGCTATTAAAGCCTGTAGTTTTCTTCATCAGACCTATGCTGAGTTCTCAACACATTTTTTTGAGAACTGGCAAAGAATACTCTCATTCAAGGTGGGTGAAAAAATTGTTAATCCCAGTAAGCTTAGAGTGGATCTACGTTTCTATGCTGAACTAGTTAATGCTGGAATATTTACCCACAAACAAGGACTTTCTCTTTTGGGTTCTGTACTCACTGTTCTTATTAATATGGATAAAGAAGAACACAACAATGCAAGCATAATTTTAAGCTTTTGTCGTCACTGTGGAGAAGACTATGCTGGCCTGGTTCCTAAGAGGGTTCGAGAGCTCTCAGAAAAGCTCAATGTAACAATTCCAAAGAGTAAACTGCTATCACCAGATAAACAACAGAATGTTAAAATGTTACTTAGAGATTATTATAACTCCTTATGCAAACATCTTCTTAAGGAACATAAGGAACTTCAGGCATTTGAGAAACAGAATCGTAAAATTTTACAAACACGAGGTGAACTCAGTGCGGAGCGTAAAGAAAAGTTAGAAGCACTTCAAGCATCTTACGAACGTCTATTATCTGGTGTACAGAGTTTCTCTGATACTTTGGACGAACCTGTGCCAGAACTGCCCATTGATGCACAAGTAAAAGCTGAGACAGAAGATAATCTAAAAATGATTAGTGAAGGAGAGGAAAATAGTATTCTCGAGGATATGTGGGGAGATGAAGAGACAAGAAGGTTTTACGAGGTTTTACCAGACCTCACAGTGTTCCTCCCTGGTTCATACATGAAGGAGGTACCTAAGAGCGATGCCCCAATAACTGAAGAAGCTCTAGATGAGGAGATAACGTTTGATGAGTTGGAAGAAATAGATAAAGTTGATGAGCCAGAACCAGAGCCAGAAGAACCTCAAGTGGCGAACATCAGCAACAAAATACTTCTAGATGCGTTCCTGACTAATCTTCCTAACTGTGTAAATCGTGAAATGATAGATAACGCAGCTGTAGAATTTTTGATGAACTTGAATACAAAACACAACAAAAAGAAGCTGATTAAAGCACTGTTTGGCGTCTCGAGGATCCGTCTTGATCTTTTACCATTTTACTCTAGACTAGCAGCTATCCTATATACAGTAATGCCTGATGTCGCCAACGAACTATGTTTAATGTTGAAACATGACTTCAAGTATCACGTACGTAAGAAGGATCAAATCAACATAGAGTCAAAGGTCAAGGTTGTCCGATATATTGGTGAGCTTGTTAAATTCAAACTTTATTCGAAGATAGAAGCATTATACTGTTTAAAAGTTCTACTACACGACTTCACACATCATCATGTAGAGATGGCATGCAATCTCTTAGAGACCTGCGGAAGGTTTCTTTTCTGTTCCCCAGATTCTCATCAGCGAACAAAGGTTTATTTGGAGCAGATGATGAGAAAGAAAGCTGTAACTGCCCTAGATTCTAGATATGTTACAATTATCGAAAATGCTTACTACTTTGTAAATCCACCGGAGTCTACTGGTGGTATATCCAAGAAGGAACGACCTCCTTTGCATGAGTTCATCAGGAAGTTACTTTACCAAGATCTCTCGAAAACGAATACGGACAAAGTCCTGAAGTGGATGAGGAAGTTGGACTGGGAAGATGAGAATATTTCAGCTTATGCTATCAAGTGTCTAACCGCTGCATACAATGTCAAATATCTAAACATCAGATGTGTAGGTAGTTTACTGGCTGGACTGGTCGCTCACTACGAAACAGTCGGTCCCCATGTGGTTGACGGTGTCCTTGAAGACATTAGATTGTGTATGGAGATTAATTTACCCAAATATAATCAACGCAGGATAGCTATGGTTAAATATCTCGGTGAACTTTACAATTATCGAATGGTAGAAAGTGGTGATATTTTCAGGACTCTGTATCTCCTTATTACCTTTGGGGTGAGCATGGATCACTCGGTACCTAGTCTTCTAGATCCACCTGACCATCTCTTCCGAATTAGGCTGGTATGTACCCTACTTGAAACTTGTGGACAATACTTCAGTGGAGGATCTAGCAAGAAGAAGTTAGACTACTTTTTAATCTTCTTCCAAAATTACTACTGGTTTAAGTTCACTGATCCTATCTGGACCCCGGAGAATCCTTTCCCTGTAGGAATTGACTATATGTACAAAGATACGCTGACTATGCTCAGACCTAAGATGCAACTTTTCCAAAGTTACAAAGAAGCGCAGTGTGCTGTGGATGAATTGCGGAACACTTTGTACCCGAATCTAGGTCTCTCTACGAAGGATGATACTGGAGAGCGTAACGACGGAGAATCTGAAATGGGTGTGATACAGGAAGCTGAAGAAGACGTTGCTCTTACTTCAGGAAATGGAAGTGGAGATGCTAAAGGAATGGCTGAACTTCATTTCGAAGAGTCCGAAGACTACTCAGAGGCTCAATCCGAAGAAGAGTGGCCAGTAGATGGCGACCGAGATGAAAATCATGGAACCCAAGAAAACACCCAGGGTGATCAGAGTCTATCCGAAGGGTGCAACGAAGGTGTTATAATGGATGCGTCTGAGTTGGATGCCGCTTTACCAGCTGGACCTCGAAGAGTCAATTGTCCTGAAGATGACGACTTTCTATCAGCCTTGGACAAAATGGTCTCCGACAATATTCAAGACAGGATGAGAGACTCCGTGAAACCTCAGCAAGTCGACATCTCTGTACCACTTCATGTTAAGAGTACAAAAAAGACATACGAACAACTTCAGGAAGGTCCTTCTGACACCACTACTATGGATTTTGTCCTGATGCTCAGGAAAGGGAACAAGCAACAGTATAAGAACCTAGCTGTTCCTGTCTCTTCCGAGCTTGCTTTGAATCTGAGGAACCGTGAACAAGAACAGAAGGAAGAAAAGGAACGTGTTAAGAGATTGACTTTGAATATTACTGAGAGACAGGAAGAGGAGGATTACCAAGAAACGATTAATCAGGGCACCAGACCAGTCACCGTTAATTTAAATCGCGAACGGAGACAGAAATATAATCATCCTAAAGGCGCGCCCGATGCTGATCTTATATTTGGGCCTAAGAAGATACGATGAAACGCTGTAAATCTGATCTTCTGAAGGATGAAGAAATCATTCATAAAGTTTACACGACCTTGAACTTCTACTTCCTTTTTAAAAAGTCCAACTGTTCTTCATAGTGTATTTCTGTTATTCAGATTCAATATCGCATTAGAGGAGCCACGTCCAAAATTTGTGTAAAATAGGAGACGTTATATTTGAACACTGGACTATCTTGCGATGTGTTGCGACATGAACCAATGCGATCATATAAGTCTGTATCAAATGCTGATTTTGTATTAAAATGATAGAAGATTCAATGGAACGTTGTGAATCTACTCGTGGAAAATGATTTATCTACAATAAAAAGGAAAAGATCGTGCAACTTTGAATTAACCTTCCTGAAGAAAGGCACGAGAAAGTAGCACCAGTTTTTTTATTTACTGGATAAAGTACTTTTGTAGAAATTTTTCTTAAAACTTTTCCTTTCATTTTAGGTAGATATATATACACATTTCTCGTTAAGCTATATAGCTTAAAGATGAAATCGCGCGTAAGGTGAAACAACGCGATATTTCCGTACAATTAATATATTTTTTCTGAAATGATGTTGATTGACGTGTATGAAAAGATAATAAATCATTGTTCTTTCAAAATATAGGAAACGTAAATAATTAATTAATATAAGAATCTACTAGAAGTATAATTCCTTGAAATATTTCAATAATCATCTCCAGAAAGTTCAACGATTTATGTTATATATTTATTAGATGTAAATCTTATGCAAGCTATTAGTTTCTACCGACTGAGATACGTAACAAGTTAAATTTATTATTATTATGTGAATTTAATATTATCTTCTCATAATAAATATTAATGTAACGTGGTACATATTTTAATGGGAGTTAATAGAGCATCTAACTTACATCTAATAATCATGTTACATAAAACAATAAGAGTTTTCTTAATATCAGATAGCCATCCTCTTTAAAAGAGTGATAAACAATGAAAATACTACAAGGGAACAAGATGTAAATGTAAAGTTGGATTATATCAGAATTTGATGTTAATTGGCGTAAATGAGTACCTATGCAGCAACATTTGTATAATAAATTTAAAAATGTGTCCATATCATAAGATTAGAGCAATGTTGATAATCTAAGAAGATTGATAACTTTTTATTATTTAAAAAAGAACGCCTTTAAGGAAACAGGCGATGCACATATGTATATCGGTTAAATATAAGTGTATCACCAGCTGACGTATGGTTAACACGTGTGAATGACACATGGTCGGTTCGCGTTCGATTTCCGTTGACTACGATTTTTTAAAAATTGATTATGAATGACAAATAAATTTATTTTAAACAAAAATCTATTGATTAAATTACTTCAAATTGTAATATCAATCTTTAATACTTTAACGATATAATTTTACGTGTAGAACATTTTTCGTGCTAGTGAAACGTTTCTTTAAAAAGGAAAGATATATTCCCTTTTCAAGAGTTGTACAGCACATGTTTTGGCACATCCCCCTCTACACTACCTATCTTTTCTGACGTGGGTTCTGCTACCGTATGTTGTTTGTTGGCGGATTGTGTTAGAAACAAAAATTGTTGCACTTGCTGAACGACATCCAAAATGGAATTTAATGGCTACAAAAACAAAGGTGGAAGCCGCTTAAAAAGAAAGGATTACCTAATACAATGGAAAAAAAGACTATTGCTGGTAAAACAAAACTCGATCAATTATATAAATGCTTAACGGTCATGCGTGAAAATTTCAAAATGATTTACTGTCTAGCTTGCGAGATACACGAAATGAAAGTAGCCAAAATTGCACTATAAAGATATACTTCGCCTGTTAAAATAGTTGTTTATTTTCCGAGATAATTCAGCTTCTAGGTAGTAAAACTGGATACAATTTCTAAGAGACTCTTCTTTTACATGGAACATTACTAAAATTATTTATAAATTAAAAATCTTTAAATTTTTTCTCTTTTTTTCCTGCATTATTTGAACAATATGTAATATCCAAATTTATCAAATGATAGATTTCTGTGTTTCCGCTTGTTTCAAAGATAAGAAATTAGATACGAAATATTTCTGTCACGAACGACATACAGGATATTCACCGAAATAGGAATACTATTATGATTATGCTACTCCAACTTCTTTAATGGAAAACGCAGGAGAAAAATGTAAAATACGTTTTCTTGTTTCTGACATTACAAATTTGTGTACATCTGCACACGTAAAATAGCTGAACAGCAGTCTGCAACCAAACAGGATGCAACTACTAAACTACGTACAATAGATCAGTCGACCATGAGGGAGCAAAAACAGTGTTCACTGAAGAACAAAACATGAATACAACAACGCATCCCTACACGGTACAATACAGTCTAACTGCATAAGGAAAGTTTGTTCCTTTTGTTTTTCTGTGCATGGAAGAGCCAACAAACAAATTCGACCTCAAGATATTATAGCGTTAGCAAATCAAGCAAAGAATTTAGAAATATTGTTGATTTTTAGTAAAAATAAAAATTCATGCTCTTAATAAACCATGAATTTTAGGCCTATAAGTAATGAAAAAACATGTATGACAATGTTTGTCGTAGGATGCCTCTTTAAATTCGCTATTCCATCGATAGATGCCTGGTAGATAAATAAAATTTTCTTTCTAATTTATAGATATTAAACTTTTAATACAAAATGTCCATAATCAAAGTTTTGAGACTGATCTTTACGCAAATGCACTCACTAGTATTTCTTTTAAATGATGATAGAAGTAGTAAAGATGACTGTATTCAGTTAAAAATTGCACTAAGACAATAAATACATTTGATTGATCAATAGATCGCAACTCTTGCAATAGTTGTTAAATTAGACCAATCATTATACTTTTGGACTATAAGCAAGGGAATTATTGGAATATATTCATGTTACATTTATTTTTACTGAAGAAGTTATTATTACCATGTACAAAAAGAAGATAAATAAAAGGGTCTCATTTTTCTCATTCATGCCTCTGAGCCGTGACGGTATTGTGGTTCAAAGAAGGGATTACGTACCGTTATAACATTGTAAATGGTCGTAGATTACGTACGTATTCAAATACACAAAACTCACAATTAGATTTTCAAATAATCGAAACTAAATGTATGTGTACTAGCTGGATAATGTGGAGATTACGTCAATTGTCTCGGGGAATTTTCGCTTAAGGATCCTCTTCGGCATCTTCGAATTGTCCTGCTTCTACGTCCATATTTTCTTCTGATTCAGTGCCATTGTGACTTGGTGCAATTTCCAAAGAATCAAAGGCTTCAAAATTTTATACATTTAGCGATTTTGTTAACTAAAATTGGATACTGTTTTTTTGTTTGACAGTATTAATGTACCTGAAGGTAGTAAATATGGTGGATCTCCTGCACCCACTTCATAGTAATCGAATTCATCCTCTTCGGCATCTTCGTAAATGTCCTCATCTTCAGCTGATCAAAATATAGCTTTTCATTGTCAACTCTAATTCTCTATTTCTGTATAAATTGTAGCAAATTCAAACCTCCGGAGAAGCTGTCTTGTGGATCAGGATGTAGAGCCTGACACTGGTTCATAGCTTGAAACATAGCATCCAAATTATTTGTGTTATCGGGCGCAAATCTCATTTCTGTTATTGAAGCTGAAGAATTAGAGTCCTCGGAATCATGCTCAGAGCTGTTATCCAGTGAAGATGCACCTAAAAAATAAATTTAAACTTATGGCAATCCTGAAAAGATACTTGGTAATGTTTAAAAAAGACAGTATTCTAACTTCCTGGTAGGTCCACCTTCGAATCAACCATCACATAAAGACAATGGCGAGGATGAGCTTGTTCATCTCTAGAAATAGCATGTAATGATATGCTTGGATATTCCAAAGAGAATCCTTCCTGTGTTTCACTATCCATCCATGATAGTACACTAAGAAATAAAGTTACAATGTAATGTCGTTTGAGTATATAGATCAGAAAATATACCTGTCCGTTATATACAATGTACCCTTCCCAAGTTTCTTATCATTAATAAAAACAGTGGTATCTGGTTCCTCATGGCGAATACCTTCCTGCGGTGCTGAGAAATTACTTAAAACGACCATGATTCCTGTGTGATGTATAAAAAAATTAATGATTAGTACCATATGCTAATATGAAGTATAAATAATGTACATAACGTAAGTAGTACAGAAAACCATCCAAATATTTTGTCATTTAAGAATGATCAATACTAAAGAATATTATATGAACCTTAAGTTTGTTTTTAGCACCTTCGGGAAACTACAATTGTTCCTGATTGCCTCAGGATTGGATTCTTTTTGGGATTCCCGGCGTATCTTTTTTTTGTGTTCTGAGGTTGTTTTACGGTACTCCAAAGATCATCTCTTTTCTGTTGAAAGAGAGATTCGCAATTTTGAAAGGAATAAAGTAAAAATGTAAGTTTTTGAGTAATTTTTAGGAATTTAAGGTACGTCAATTGGAAATCGTTTAAACTGTCCTCGAAGTGCCTCGGAGCCAAGTAAGTATATATATATATTTTTACGCCAATCACTTATTAGAAATGTTAAGAAAGACGCTTGTCGGCTTATGTATTTGTGGTTCTAATACTTTCCTGCAACTTTACCGTATGAAAGTTCCGTTCGGGAGGAGAGTTACCGACGGACAATTCTAGTACACAACGTCGTCTTTTTTTTGTCAACTTTATTCAATGGAGATGTGATTCAGTGATCATTCCTTGTACGTATATCGTACACAATTAACTAATCTGAAGCTATAGAAACAGAAGATAGTATCGTCCAAGTTTCATAACAAACTACCGTTACGCGAAGAATAAAACTACAAGGGAAAAAACGAAAGGCAGAAAGTTTATATACTCATGAATTGGCCCTAACCTCAAAAATAAAAATTTTAACAGAATTTAGTATGATTTCTGTTTTACGACACGTATTATTTACCAGCATCAAAAGAAGAAAAAGTGTGGTTTCTGAGGCTCTGATAGTACTTCCTATTTCTCATATTCACACAAGTAATTGTAAGTTGAAATATTTTGCACACGCAGAGAATGTACACGCGGGAATTACATAGTTTTTTTTTAATATTCCTAAATTGTATTCAAATAACTGTTAAAATATTTTTTGTAGGGCTAAAACACGGAGAGTATGAATTTCAAGATCCTAAATCTGAAGATGAAGTGTAGGTAAATTATTAATGTTTTTAATAAACTCTCTGGATTTGTGACTTTATGAGGGATCATCTCATATACCATGTTTTATCATAATTGTCCCTATGTACTTAAAGATGAACATAGTTATCTCTAAATAGTATCATCTATGATTTTCTGGTACTTATTGTCACTAACACTGTATATTTCTATCTTCTTTAGGGTGAATATTACTTATATAGACAAGAATGGACAAAGAATACCAGTTCGAGGTAAGGTAGGGGATAATGTCCTCTACCTTGCACATAGATTCAATATTGAAATGGAAGGAGCTTGCGAAGCATCTTTAGCATGCACAACATGCCATGTTTATGTATCTCATGACTATTTGGATAAGTTAAAACCAGCTGAAGAGAAGGAAGAGGATTTATTAGATCTAGCACCATTTTTGCGTGAAAACTCACGATTAGGTATGTAAAAGGAAAGCTTTGCACTTGCATATATCATGTACTGATTTTTTTTCAGGATGTCAAATCATTTTGACTAAGGATCTAGATGGTATCGAACTAGAGTTACCAAAGGCAACTAGAAATTTTTATGTAGACGGTCACACCCCAGCACCACATTGATATTCACCTACAAAGTTACCCATCTGTCCTGTAAATATTACAACATACAAGATCGTTACATTAAATATTTCACTGCTTTAAAACAATAAATAGTTCCTATTTACATCAGAATGTTCATTCTGGTAGGCAGCCCTGAGACCTCCTACAGTTAAGTTATAGCATGACATACAATATATTTATTTTTTCTTCTCATCTCTACATAATGAGATTCTTAAACATATTTTCGTTTATTTTTTTTTATTTAATTACAATGATACAAGATTTAAACATTTATGATATAATGATTTCGAATTCTCTTTCTTCAATCTTACTTGATTATTCACTTTTTTTCTTTCTTTTCTTTCCACACAAGTTTTATCCATTGCGTTTCGAGTAAAAGCCAAGGAGCAATCAGGTTCGTCAGTACTATCCAAGAGCAAGATTGCCAATATTCCACTCGCACTGCTTTCGTTACGGCTTAAAAAACATTTATACGCCGTAAATACGAAGGCAAAATTCGCGAAGGAATTTCTACCTCCCCTTTTTTATTTTTATTTTTATGGTAATAAGTGATGAGATGCCAATGCATTAAACGTTTTTCACAATTATCCCTTACGTACATACATTATATGTGTGTGTGTATAAATATGTCAAAGGGATACTTTGGGGACGATTTCATTTACGAAGCCGCTTATTTGAGGACAAGTGGCTGTTTTGAGGACTGACCTCAAAGATTTTCCAGCGTAATGACTGTTTTGAGGACCATAAAGCGGACTCTCACACAAAGTTTGATTATATTTTTTTAATGTAAGACATCCAGTATTTGTTAGGTTAGATTAGATAAGAATTCCAATGCTGTGACATCCCAAGTTAGTCGTTTTTTTTTAAAAAAAAACATTAGCTTGCTATTCTGAACGCTCTTTGATCTTTCGTGTCCTCAAAGTATCCCTTTGACATATTTATTGTTTGTTATTAAACTTGTCTAGGGGCAGTTTCTAGAACATAGGTCACTCACAACGGCACGCCAATGTTTTTTTTCTAAAAAAAAAAATACCTTGGAACATGTGGTATTATAGTTCTAACCTAATCTAATATAACGAAACTATTTCTTAGCCCATTACAACTCCGAGTGTCTAGCAAAAAATTTGTTGGAAACTTCGGTGTGAGTACCGCTTTAAGGTCCTTAAAGTATCCGTTACGTATCAAAATTTTTTCAGATCCGTTCTAAAAAGCACCAAGTGTCTTAAAAACTGCCAATACTTAAGACATAAAGTCCTGAAAAGTACCCTTTGACATGTATATGTATACACATACATATATATGCGATTCTACGTAGGATCTATACATAACATACATATCCACATATGCATATATCCATATATATATGATATATTTACCCCATTTACACATAACTTTAGTTTATATACTTTTAATTTATACATTTACATTTATTTGTTGGTTTTTGTCATTATCATTATCATCTTTCCACTCCTTCCTCCCACTCTCATTTATCTACCTCTCTTTGAACCCCTCTCTTTTACACACTGTTAATTAATTAATTTATTCGTTATTCGCCTTATCCACTAAAATATTTATAGTTTTATCTTCGCTCTTTTTCTGTTTTCACTCGTTACTCATTCGATATAATTATAGACACATTTTTTAAATATTTTCTTTTTCACTCTCTTTTTCATCGTTTCACTCAATCTATTTATTTTAATTCATAAACCCACGTCATACATACATACGCATACGGATGCATTACGCACTCTAGTCTCAATTCATACGTGCATACCAAGCAAGCAATGTAATATAACTAAACTTATAACAATTTAAGATATCGTAATTATATACACTCTATATAACGTAACTGTTAAGACGATTGTTATTATTTTGGAGAAATATTCGACAAGCTATATATATATTACCATACCAAATTATGTTTGCTAGGTATGCACACGCAATTTAGCTTAATGTCGTACGAGCGCATCAGTAATAAGAGTTTCAAATAGAACATTATCACATCTCGTAAAATTTCTGTTACACGTGTGGTAACGGGTCTACACGTTACGACGTCCGTTGTATACATACGCGCGCACATACACACGTAATTGCATGTTTCCAGATTTTTTTTTTTTTTTAATAAAATCGATGCTTTGGCTGCCGTAAGATTTTAAACTTCTGATACCTGCCAGATGATTAGATGTGCGTATTTCTAGTTTTGGTTAATGGCCTAATCACGAATAAATATAATTGTATATTGCCGTACGGCAGGAGAAGGATGGCTAGCGGCAAGAGGAATACCTTGAATCACATTGTACAAAGGGTAAACCATTACTATATTCGGTTCAGGAGTTCAATGTATATTTTTGACAAACAGGAAGCAATGATGTCAATTTTTCACCTACGAAATAAATGCACGCGCATTGTTTTGCAGCAAGATATATATATTTTGTATACTTTGTTTTCGTGATTTTATGTAAAAAAGCCACATATTACCTAATGAGAAGTGCGTTGTTTGCGAACTGTCAAAAGTGTAAACATTCACAACACGTGGACTGATTATGGAAACGGGGGAAACACATAGTTGGAATTCGAGACTATCAAAGAGAAGCTATGAATAACTATACCTATCGCTACTACATGAAGTTAAGATTTATGATGCTGACTTATGAAAGGATACAGGTAGACAGGTACAGAGCAAGGGACATGGTGAGAGTGAAAACTTTACGAGGATACATATTTATACAGTTTTGTACTTGGTTAACGACTTAATAAATGTCTAGGGTCATTAGGGAGGTGGGTACGGAAAGAACAAGATTACACGTGTCAAAGACGAATGTCAGAAATGATCACACATAAAACATATATCTGTTGCACATATACAGAGTGACTCACGAATCGTGATCAGTAGAGATTACTTTGTTATTAGCAGTCCGATCGAAAATGTTTTGATCAGCTTTTGCATGGTTTCAAGAGAGCTTTAACGTGATAGTGAAAAAATACTGGTCAGCTCTTTTTTTAAGGTTTTTTCAAGGTTACCTTGAATTTTTTGCAACTGAACATATAATTTTTTTACGCCTGTCTGTTAGAGGATTTCAAGACGAATTCGGCACATGTAATGACATGACATTTTTTTCATCTGGTTCGAAAGAAAATTAAAAAACTTTGTATCACAAGCTCCAACAACACCAGAAAGTACGTGACGAAGGATTGCGGATGCATGCTCAACCATCAGTGTAGATGCCATAAAGAATGCAAAACAATCTTTTCTTCACCGTGTACGCGACTGCATTGCAGCTCGTGGACACCATTTTTAACACCGCTACAATTAAGATTGGTAAATTTGGACTTGTCAACAACATTGGATGCGTAATAACGGCGTAGCTGTGATTCTCCTTGTAATACAACATTTTTTAATTTTCTTTCGAACCAGATGAAAAAAATGTCATGTCCTTACATGTGTCGAATCCGTCTTGAAATTCTCTAACAGACAGGCGTAAAAAAAATTATATGTTCAGTTGCAAAAAATTCAAGGTAACCTTGAAAAAACCTTAAAAAAAGAGCTGACCAGTATTTTTTCACTATCACGTTAAAGCTCTCTTGAAACCATGCAAAAGTTGATAAAAACATTTTCGGTCGAACTGCTAATAACAAAGTAATCTCTACTGATCCCGATTCGTGATTCACCCTGTATATTATGAGTAATGCGGACCAGTCGGGATGACTAAAGAATCCATATATGGATGTCGTTAGCTAATCTCGATCATTTTAAAATAAAAAAAAAAGTCAGTATGGCTGGTAAACAATATCATATTTACACGTGTTAACGGAACCTTTCGGCGGGATCTATATTTTTTCGTTTCTTCACCTTCGACCTCTTCGCATGAAGTTTGACAAGTTTAAACGTACGATACAATCGTAATGTAAATAGGAGCGTCTCTCGCTTTATATTTTATCACTTTGAATATGGTTTTGCCACTTCTCTCGATGTGTGCATGAGCGTGCGTGTTACAAGTGGCATAAATAAAAAATTGTCTCTGTTTTTTCCTTCACTCTTTTTCTTCTCTATCGTCCTTTTTCTTTTTAAATTCTATACAGGCTACCCTAAAGCAAAAAACGACTAGTGTGCTCCTCTGAGCCCTTAGGAACACACTGTCACCTTTTGAATATACAAAACCGTAAAAAAGTCAATAGAAAATCGAATACACTACGTAATATTCATTCGAAAAGAATCGCACATTATCAACGCATCACAAACGCCCACGCATGCATACGCACTTACCCAATTTAACGTTCATACATGACACGCATTCACCGCATAACTCTTCACATCTACACGCTACATTCTTCTTGTCACACGTGCTCCTTGCTTACAATTTTCGTTTTTTCTCCTTCCACCCAACTTCATTGAACGCTAAAATAATGGTATGCAAGTTCGAAACGTGTGACATTTTTTTGTGCGAGCCGACAGAAGCGGAGAATCTTCGAAAAAATTTCACTAGGAACGCACCTACTGACAGCTGTTTTTAGAGAAATTATTGGTACGGACTGTACTTGTTTATTATAACAAATCAATTTCGTTCTTTTGCTTTTTTCTTTTAAGATTTTTTCTCTTGCTCTCTTGCATTTCAGGTTTTACGGTACGCACAATAGTTGCACGTTTCGAATTTTTCGTCTCTCTTTGATCCTACGTTAAATTTCTCTAACGCACAAATGAGTCTCAACGAAATCAGACTTCACGTAAAAAATAGAAATTAAGGAGGTTCAATGATGATAATAATAATAGTAATAGGGAAGCACAGTTTAAACAGAGAGTAAAAAACATTCCAAGATTTTTGGTTCAAAAATAAATGAGTGAAAATATAAGATACCCTCGGCGTTCAAACCGCAAATAATTAAAATCTACTTAAATTGAATTTTGACCTTATTCATTTTCATAGGTTGAGTATATATAGTGGCAATTGAAACTTTTAGATTTTTTTATATCTCAAAAACTATACAGTAAATTATATTTAATTTTGCATAGATGAAGATTTCGTTATTGTCTAATATATACAACAAATGCAGAATTTTATCATGGATTTTGTGCCATCACCGAACCTCCTTAACAAAACAACAAAGACTCTTGGCACATCGCGGGAGAGTAACGACGCTTTCGTTTGGACGTGCAATATTTGCGATGCAACTTTATAAAGAAGCGTCATCTCTATTTTTTTTAATTTAGGCACGCCAAGTTATTCAAAAGACATTCGCAATAAGGTAGGCGCCCGTTTGTCTTTTTCTTTTTGTCACTGGAGTGTCAGGCGCACGCGCGCGATATGCCGAGATGAATTTAAAAATAATTTTAGATAAACGGCAAAGGAGGTAAATCGTTGAATATACTTTTCCACTTTCTTTTTTTAGCTTGCGATTTCTCTCCTTTGCGTACAATTATAAAGCGCTTCTTTTTTATATCTTGCTTTTATTTCCGCTGTAGCCTTTTGAAATTTTATCGAATTTCAAGTTACCCAAATTCTCAGGAGCTACAAGTTACTGCATAAAAGCAAAAGAAAAATTTTATCCTATGGCTACGGGATTCCTTTCCATCTAATGAGGTTATACAGGTTACGTGTTTAGTTTGTCGCTTTAATCATTAACATTTAAAATAATAATGACAAATCCAGAAACGTCGACACAACACTAACGTCATAAATCATCTAAAGGTCCTGTCGACATTCCCGAAGACTTTGGTAAGTATCGTTTTTCCCTCGAACTATTCGCTACGATCGTACGTTCTAAGGATCAAGCCGAAAACGCGAAACATCTACCTGTAAAAAACTGACTGTTTCTTATAAATATAACTTAAACTGCAAATTAGATTCCTTTTTCCTTTTCTCAAAGTCTGTTCTGAAACCTTGCACCGATTTGCCGGACCCACATCTTTTCTTTTGTAATGGCAATGCCATCGCTTGCATTCACGTTTCATTCCTCTGGTTAAACCTTGCACAGTTGGGAACCTGTAGAACCAACTATTAATCACTCTGAACGGTTACCTTAAATAGCCAAGGAGAAGCTTTGGCTATAATAGAATTATCCTAGCAATGAGCATTTAGTGTGTAGTTCCGAATGATTCTTTTGCAGAATTAATTCCAAATATTTTCACTATGTTCCTACTTGTTTAAAACAGACCTTTCGGGGGTAGTTCTCAAGTTACGTTAAGGTACACCACGTATAATTGCAGTTTCTTACATAAGGCAACACTGATGCATGTATCTCGTGTAGTACACCTCCCAATGCACAGGAATAAATAGAGCTGAATGATTAACAGTTCATTTCCATTCTGTTAATATTACTTGAGCTACGTAGTGCATCGCAAATACTTGGAATTTGTTTGCCATTACAAAGTCTATTCCACTATTTGAATCCATGTCTCCATCGTCATTTTAACTGTCATCCAGAATGGCGCACCCCGTAGTTCAGGTAAACAGAAGCTTACGACAAATAAAGTGTATTGGTCATGTACCCGGTGCGATTTCAACAACTTGATCATAGATGGCGCTGGTGTATCAGTGCGTGTACCGGGAGCTGTCTACCCCTTTGATATCTCTGGCACCGGCCCATACTCAGGTCGTGGCATTCGTATACGTTTGCTACCACGGATCGCGAAGATCTTAGTCGGGAAGTCTCCACTGAGAACGGTGCAGAGATATCAAAGGGCTCCTCCAGTTATTCCATGGGATGATGCCGTCCACCACACATTCCGCAGGACATCCCACACCAATGTATGGCACGTAACGGCGGATAGAACCAGAGGCAGGGTACAATCATCGATAATAGCGCTAACCCGAACCAGCGTCTTCCGCAACCTTCCTCGGTACTACAGCTGCACAGTAAACGTCATTACATTGGATAAACCGAATTGCAAAAATGAATGGTATTAGAGCATAAATAACTCACCTGCAGGGATTCTGCGCAAAGTCACCTTCCGCATCGCTCATACAATGGTATAGCATACATTGGGCACAGGAGAGACAAGATATCGTGGCAATACCACGTTTAACCGGATCTGGCGCATACTCGCAGGATCCTCTTGGATTATGTTGTTCTGAGTATAGCTCTTGGCAATGCTTACATAGCAATCGAACATTTCTCTTTGACGTGCTCTTGCTAGGTTGAGAAACTATTACATCTGGCTTCTTCAGAGAACTTGCAGAATTACGTCGGTCGCATCTCTCACCCTTGCGATCTTCAATCACGGGATACATATACTCGTGGTTGAGCGTCGTCAGCTGCACGTAAGGGTAATTGTCGGAGCCTACATCCGCTGTAGATTCCAGAGGATGATGCGACGGGGGTAACTTTACCGAAGGTCCTCCGATGATGTGTATCGGTCTATGAGGATCAGGTAACTCCGAACATTGGGAATGATAATTCGGCATTCGAACTACTCCTCGAGGCGTCTCCGAGGACTGGCGTGGATCTGGTGGCTCCACCGGTAAATTTAACGTCTGGATAAAACACATCCGAGAGAGATATTAATGCTGAATCATAATTACTTAAATTTTCAAAGTATTTAAAACTTTATTTTTAGATATAAACCTTACCATAAACACATCATCGTCGCCGACGTCTGTATGACAACCATAGAAAGTAGATTCGGCCAATCCTGAAGGTACGACAGTTACATTAAAAATCATTGAAGGAGCGAGACGATTTCTTTAAAGCGAAATTCTATGTCGACCTGTCTTAGGTAAACTCACCAAGATTATTTATTCCATAAAGAATTTTGCAGCGGGAAACGGGTAAATCTTATTGTTAATATTTGTGTTTGACTTTCTTGTTATTTTACTGTAAATTAGTTTTCTCACCTTCCAGCAGTTCCTCGACTGCAGTGCGAACGCCTTTGTCAAAGGCTCTTGCATCGGCGGCAGTTTGAAAGGTCAAACCGAACTTCTTCTCACCGGTACGCCAATGGTGAAAGGTCGGCATGACCTTGTTATACTCAAAGTCCTTCTTGATGGTGCAGCTAAGAACGACCTAAGAATTGAATATCATATATTAATATATAATAATTATTAAATTATTAAATGGTATTTTAGTAACATCTTATTGCACTTAATAGTATATTACAAATGACTCAGGTTGCCGTTAACATAACACTACATTCATTAGAAATATATACCTCTCAATGATTATTTAATACGATACTATTAATGCTGGTATTATCATTAATATGACATTGGTTTATATTAATGTATATCAATGAGATGTTAGAAATCTCACTATAATCAATTAGCTTCTTTCACTTCTGTCACCTTTTTATGTTTAATATGTCCAACATTAGTAGGAACCCTTAACAGAGTATCATTAGCATTGTGATTTGTCTTTCCTATTCTTATATTAATATGGTACAGCTAATAAACTATGACCTATTACTAACATGCTACCATTAGCATTGAAAACATATGACAGAATACAGTGTTAAAACATAATACTGAGGACACAAATATTTAGTGCTAAAGTTCATATTTGGATAGTATAATTTATTTCTTGAAGAACTTACCGATTGATCTGTAATACGTTTTCCATAAATGAGATACTCATGCCTCCTCTTAGCTGCTCCAGGTGGTGAAGTACTGGAAGATCCATGTCCTTGGCTAGCGACGGCGGAGCTCGCGGTAGAGTGAACCGAATTGGTGGTTGAGGGCGCAGGATTGACAGTAGCTATAGGAACACCAGCACCATTGGTACCGCCAGGTTGATGGGCACCAGCAGCTGAGGTCGTCCTTCGTCTCACTGAGACATTAGCCAATCCTCCACCACTGAGAGGTACCCAACCACCAGAGCTGTCGTCCCGTGTCATCACCTGCGCCCGTACCCTCACCAAGTAGTTACCACTGAAAAAGATTTTACCTTAGATAAAAAAGGGAATGGAAAAGTATTATTTAATGATTTCGAGAGACTTGATATTTTTAACAATCAAAGAATTCAGGAATTAAGGTCAAGTTAGCGACAACAAGGACTGGAAATTTGAAAATTTGAGATTGATAGGTGATGAGGACAAGAAGTATAAGAGATGATGAAGGTGTATAGAAAGTTCTTATAGAATTTGATTGCAAGATATATCTATACCTGCTTATGGTCAAAATAAATATAAATGAAATGGTACTCAGCCTGATTAAATAGTAGTAACAAATACAATATTGGAAAATCATAGTTATGGCACACAAAGAAGAAAAGAATTTCATACACAGAGAGAGAATTATAAAAGTTTTCATATCCATATTTCCAAATTAATGATTACTAAAGTTATTGCTATCATATTTCCAGAGAATCTAAAATCCCAATAACCAATGGTATGCAAATTTCCTCACCTCAAACAAAGAAAACTTATATTAGAAATAATAAGAGAAATATTCTAATCAAAATATACCTGTGAACAATAGATTTAATTGGTCCAGAAACTATAAATCTCCAATAACCCCCAGAAGTGAGACAAAAATAATACACTAAATATCCATAAAACCTTAACATACTTGCATGAAAAGATACATTTAAGCAATAAAAAGTGTGCATAAATGGATTTTTATGCTCAAAGGGGACAAACTATTACAATCATGTAAATTCAAGAAATTATGTAATTTTCAATCATATATTTTTGATAATTAACGGTAGTAACGTAAATATATGAAGGTAAAACTCTAGTAACAATGTCTGGTACAAGAACTACAAAAGGCCTGAGTACAATGAATATTTAAAAAAAATTTGTTAATACGATAGAAAAAGTGTAAGAAATATGCAAGAAAGAAATTAAGAAATGAAGGAAGCAGTGATACATACTGACATCGATTCGAAAAATGAACGTCGGTCATACATGCACTTCCGCATGTAAAAATTGTGACACATGCGACATACGTTTATGCTCGTCCAACCTGAGTATAGAACTCGGAAAACAAAGGTTGTTTTTCAAAATTCTTCGATAGCCAGATGAAGTATCAAAAGAAATAAAGAAGAATAGAACAAGGTAGAACTAAACATTAAAGAATGGATGGAAATCACACGTAAAATAGTAAAGCGTTAGTCTTTCCAGAATATATAAAAAGTTATCCTTAGAATGAGTAAAAGAATGAAAAAGATAGATCTCCATGAATACAAAATCTGGGAAAAACGAAGAGAGGCAGACAAATAAAAAGATAGCGGCTGAGTAAAAAAGGTATAGGGAAAGAGAGATTGGTAGATAGGATACAAGAAGTGAGAAAGAACCATTGACACATTTCGCGGCTGGATCAAACATAGGGCCGGTATAGCAGCACAAAACACCCTGATGCAAGTTCATCGTTATAATCTTGCTTGTGAAGGCCCGCTTAATCATTTCGTAGTTCCTACGATTAATGTAATTGCGGAGCGTTGCCGGTTTTCCACGAAAATCTAAAATGGTGGAGACGCACCGTGCCTTGCCCCGAGCGCGTATGACACCAGCGACTCCACCGATTTTCACCCACCAGGATTAACCGGAATACTCCCGAGGGTATGGCCATTTCCCGTGTTTCCCGATTTCCTACTTACTCCTCCGACGCCTCTGTCATGGTCCGAGCTCGCGAAGCCTTTACTCGACGCCCACTTTTTCCCACACTTCACCATTTTCGTTGCATTGAAAAGACATTCGGGCCGCGTTCCTGCTGTGGACTTTTTTTAGGCTAACGCCAACTACAGGAAGCGCCCCAGTCCACCTTCTCCGCGCACTACACAGCTCCTACCCCCACGCGAGAATAATTCATCTCCTACTTTCCTTCTGCATCCCCACTAAGATGGTCGCACACTGGAAATGGATTGGTATGATTTTATTGAGTGGGGAGAATGAGAACCAATAACTAATGCCTTGGGTCCTGGATACATTTGCCCGGTATATTTAATTTGAATTTCATGTTTCTTGGATTGAATTCATTGACGTTTTCAAAATTAATGCAAACAGATCACTTATGCAATTTCATGATAGTCCATGGTAGATCTATTTAATCTGTCAGAGGTAGACGGAGCTATCGCATCATAAGTGAGGAAACCTGTACAACTATTTTTCTCTATTGTTTTCAACTAATTGGACACATCATTAATTTAACTATCTTCCTTACACAATAAGTAAGTCGGTTCATCTATATTTGAAATTCGCGAAAATCTTGTCTTGAAGAATGATGTTTATGTAGAAACCGACGTGTCCAATTCTCATTGCGGCCGCCATTACGCTTATTCAATTTTCCTACATTTTTCTTCGAATTAGAATATTAGAACTAATGGCAAATTTAAGAGAAAAAGGATTATACAGGTTTCCTGACTTATGACGTCGCCGCTCCGTGTAGATACACAAATAGAACAGCTGAGCAGCAGCTTTAAATGTAGTAATTTCAGTTTTTTCCACATGTATCTATTAATCTAAAATGTAGTAGAAACGACTCTAATTTACAACAGACGTTAATAATTGTAAGACTTGCAAACTGTAAACGGTTACGTATGATCAATTATTTATTTGACCTTGGATAATTAGTAACAAGAATGTAACGTAATTTAGATGTATTGCGTGCAATAAACGTTTACTTCATTATAATTAAGGTATACGTTACACTTTACCGTCATACATACATATAGTTAGCACCGCAATGTCGGTCTAGTCTTTATAGTCCGTTATGTCAAAAAATGTCTAAATGCCGTATACAGGTATATAAATGTTATATTAATAATTACAATAGAATAGTTAATAAGAACTTTTTGTCAGTAAGGGTCATGCTTGATTTTATTACAAATTAGAATTTCAGTCTATTGTAACATACATTATATTGTTTCAAAATTGACTTTATTTCTTGAGAATTATGTAGCTTCATCTTCAACTTCATTATAATTACCTATTAAAATAAAAATAGATTATTATGCCATTAACTCAAACGAAATGTAAGTTTATTTTAATAATTTTATCTTTATACATATACATATAGGGTTATTCAGTAGAAACGCACCACCTGAAGTTAGCCCGTCTATTTGAATGTCATTTGATTTCTATTGTAGAATAGGTGGTGCATTTGGGCTGAAAACCTGGTATGTATATGCTATATGACAGTATCATGAGCCACGATAAAAGCGTTAATGCGAAAACAATTTTACAGGTTATTTTGTCTTACAATTAATAATTTTAACATGTAGATTTAGTCTTACATTACTTCTGGGGCTATTGTGTATGTTCTGTATTAATAATTGCTCTTGAATCCTATGCAATAATTCAAGTACTGTAGTTTTTTTCAAACGGTATCGTTGAATAAATTCGATATCATCCCACATTTGAAAATTATTGGGTTTACTTTGAATTGTATACTGTCTTCTTTCTAGAAATTTATAATCTTCATAGTCATCATCAGAATTAAAAATATCGATGTTTATAAACAAATCCATTATTGTGGTTGTATTTTCACAAGAATAAAAGAATAGAAAACGCGCGAATGGTTTCGTAGCAGGGCGGGGGGGCTGTAGTTTACTATAACAATACTTGGTGGCGCTGAATTCAATATCTGCCAGATATCTGCTACTGTGGGTGGCGGATAACTTTGTCCGTCGGATAAGAACTATACGGAGTCGAAGAAAACCGATTCTGCTAGATATCTTTCGGATAAAGTTATCGGCAACTTATCTAGAGGTGAAGAAACCGGCCATAAGCCATAGTGCAATCTAAGTCAAAAATTGAAGAAAAACTCATCGAGAGTTTAGTTTTGACTTACATTTTAAAATTAATAATAATAAAAGCTATTAAAAATAAATTAAAGCCGTGGGATATGCTAAAAAATTGTAATATTTATTGTGAAGGAAACTTAATTATATTTTATTGTGCACAGTTGCTATGTACCGCATATAAATTTTGAAGATGGTAAAGTGCTATGGAGGTTGTCTTTAGAAGTTGAAAAAGCAGTACTGTGAATTTAAACAGTCTTAAGTTTTGCGGAAATGTCACTAATTCGTAATTTCATATTCTTAAAACATCTTTTATAGGATATCTGACATTTATATAAAATGGCTGGAAATTTTTGGCAAAGTTCTCATCAGTAAGTTAACCTATACAAACTATTTTTCGTTGTCATGTGTGGTGTTTGATTAAAATATTTATAATTACAGCCAACAATGGTTATTAGATAAACAAGATTTAGTTCGTGAAAGACAACATGACTTGTCTATTTTGACGGAGGAGGAATATCAGAAGCTCTTTATATTTTTTTCAAATCGTAAGTTATAGTTTTCTACATGTAATTCAGTTGGTACAATTAATTAATATTTCTGTTCTAATTGTACAGTTATACAGGTTCTTGGTGAACAACTCAAGTTGAGGCAACAAGTTATTGCCACTGCTACTGTTTACTTTAAACGTTTTTATGCTCGCAATAGCTTAAAATGTATAGATCCATTACTCTTGGCACCTACTTCTGTATTCCTAGCTTCCAAAGTTGAGGAATTTGGTGTTATATCCAATACAAGGCTTATATCTACTTGTCAAACTGTTGGTATGTTTCACTTTAGTCTTTTGTTAGTTTTAATAGTCTTTCTTATTTTCTACTTCTTAACATTTATGATTGTATTATTTACAGTAAAAAATAAATTTAACTATGCTTACTCACAAGAATTTCCATACCGTACAAATCACATTCTTGAATGTGAGTTCTACTTATTAGAACATCTGGACTGCTGCCTTATAGTATATCAGCCCTACCGTCCTTTATTAACATTAATTCAAGATGTTGGTCCTGATGATCAGTTACTGACACTGGCTTGGCGAATTATTAATGACAGTTTGCGTACTGACGTGTGTTTGCTATATCCTCCCTATCAAATAGCTATTGGTAAGAAATTATTTATTTATTTATTTAATACATTAATAATATGCATTGATATAGCACTTATTGTTTAATTATCTAAATTCCAGGATGCCTTCAGATAGCCTGTGTTATCTTACAAAAAGATCTGAAATCCTGGTTTGCAGAATTAAATGCAGATATGGAAAAAATCCAGGAAATAGCAAGGTACATTATCAATCTATATGAACTTTGGAAAGCATATGACGAGAAGAAGGAAATTCAAAGTCTTTTAGCAAAAATGCCTAAGCCTAAGGCTGCACCACAGCGCTGACATCAACCTTTCCTATCTGGACCTAATATCTGGGTCTGATTAAAAAATTTGTACGACTTTGAACCAATATATTATTCTACTTACATGGCATTTAAAGACTATTTTCCAGTACATAACGTGTAACAGTATCATTATTGATGACTTTGGACGAATAGCATTTTTCACGTTTTTTGAATTTGTGCTGGATTAATTTTTATCCAGTTTTTATGTTAATATAAATGCGCATTTGTTTTTTCCTAAACTCTACTATTTAAAAAACAAAAGCGTTCATTGCATACTAAATTTGTATACATACATGATTTTCTTATTTAAAATTTCTTTGTTTATTATTTTTATTATGAAAATAGTGTTTCTGTCTGTTTCTTTTAATAAAATAATACATTGTTTTTCTCCCATGGCAAACCAAGTTATATTTTTGGTGTATCCTTCATATAGCTAATTCCTATTATGATAAAATACGAATAGAAAATTGATTCGAAAATCACGTGTAATAAAAACGTTCGTATATTTTGCTGGAATTAACATTATTCTGCAACATGTAAGTTAGAAATACATTCAGAGCTTTGTCAAATAAGTCATAATTCTCAGAAACTTAAGTAGTTCAATATTTTATTCATACAATTAGTGTGATTAACCTGAGAAAGCTTCCTACATGTGGCAAATAGTCTGACGGAAAAATAATAATAAAAACAAAAACAGGTCAGTATTCATAACTTTAAAGCAAATAACAATATTAATATAGATTTTCTTTGGATGATATTGACAACGGTAGAAATTTATTCATTGAGTAATATTTACAATAGTAAAAAACGTGATTAGGAACTATCAATTGGAACCCTTAGTGTATCTTTTCCAAAATCTTTTTACATCATCATGTCCTGCCTTCGTAACGACCACTGTCCTTTTTCTGTAAATAATTAAATATTTATAATTTGATTTGGCTTTCAAGTATTTTAGTTTGGATTTCGCGTTATTACCTTTCACTTTGCCAAATAAGTACTCCCGTATTTAGAGCATAATCTCGAAGTACTTCAAAATCGGTTTGAGAAAGGAATTGACTATAAAGTACACCCTCACTGAACAAAAATCGATTTCTTTCATTTTCCCACAATTTAATTTGATCAGCTATTGTGGGCGGAAGAGTAGGCGGTCCAGCCTCAATCATTTTACTATGAGCATGTTGTCGCAAATAACTAGATAAAGATGCATATATTTTTATTTTATGCAATAATCCTATATTTCAATCCAGGAACTTATAAAATTACTTACCCTACAATTTGGGCTGCTGTGATCCCACTTTTTAGAGCCTGTCTGACAGAATCTCTTGTGAGGATTGATACCACCAGATTTGGAAATCTAAAAGATTATAGAACTTTGATGTTTGCGTTTATATGTCACAAATATTGCATAATTTTAATGAAAAGTTAAGAAAGATGTACCTATATAACATTTCACAGAATAAACCAAGGAGCGCAACCTGTAAATTCGAATTGGTGTATGCATACACCCTGTAGTTTGTTTCAACAACAATGTAGCCTTCCTTTTCCAGATCACTGGAGAGTGGTTTATTTTGTCCTGTGGCAATATTTAAGGCTAATCTGGTGGGGTAGAACCTTCCTGCTTTCCGTTTACGCTGATAAACTAAACCAAATTCACGTAGGTGTTGCAGAAAAGTTAGAAGTCCTTCCGACATGCCTTCAGTACTGTAATCCTTGCCAAGTGTAGAAAAGTTCAATTGGAACAAGAAAGTTAAGCACTCGACAAGGTCTAAGCCTCTGGCCTCGATAGTATCCAAATATTGTAAAATAAAGTACCACACCTGTAAAGTAAATAAATTCAAGTACAAAAGTTGTTAGCCAACTAAAAGTAAACAGTAATGCATTTTTAAAGATAAGATATATGTACTTGAGAGGCAGTATCGAGTAAAAGAAATTGAAAACCAGCTTGTGTAATCACAGGACTGCCATCTTCTTCATCAAGTTTCATTAGTCCAGCATGGAGCAAAATTCTAACTGCATCAGCAGATATTCCTAATTAAAATGAATATATTTTAATTTATTATTATATTATAACTGTACTATTGCATCTCATAAAATAAAGAAGTCAAACCTTCTTGTTGCTGCGAGCCCACCATATAATGTAAGACACACTCCCAGCGCTCTAAAGCATACGAATCAAGAAAAGCAACATCTCTAGGTTTGCTATCAGTTTCCAATTGATTAGACATAGTCCATGGTTTACCACCTCCTAACAGTACAATCTTAAGATTCTTTTTAAAGGTTGAATTTAATATCCATCCAGGTAGGCCCCCAGGAATTGAGGCTTCATTCCATACATTCAATTCATTAAGAACTTGTACAACTCTCTGATGCTCTTCAGAATGAAGTTTCGAACACCATGAAGCTATGACTGCCTGTGGAACAGGCTGTTCCACGAAAAGTAATCTCATAACATAGTGGCGAGCTATTTCAGAAAGTTCACGAAACACTGCCAGACATATTGGAGGATTATGGTAGAGTTTATTCAAAATATCTGGTGGTCTTGATTTGAGATATTCATGGAGATTTTTACACCGTAATCCTGTAGGTCTCAACAAATTTTTCCCACTTATCGTATTGGACATCTTATCTTTTTTTTTTATTAGAATGTTATGATATTTATTATTTAATATTTAAAATAATTAGCTTCATAAGGTCTTTTTTGTTTCCATCTTGAAATATTCACCAAATTCTGTTATTGATTAAATAGATGCCTGTTGGTATTAACCTAAAATATTCCTTTTTCATTATTTTTTATATTAGTTTATTTCCCCTGAAGAAGACAAAGTAAACAATAATTATAAATCGTTTTCCTTTTTTATTGAATTAGAATCGACTGTAAATAATTGAAAAAAAGGGAATCACTTCTCCGTGTGATCACTAAACTATACCCATAGACGACGCACACAGTGGTAAAAGCGCGAGCCGAGAGACAGCATTCTTATAGTGGGATTTATCTTTTTCTAAGCGTTTTAGCCAATAAGGTTCCTAGGCTTGGCGTCTCGTCTCCATAGATACCGTACAGGCAGGAGCGTACACATATACCGTTGAGTGTATGCATATGTTTCCACCATCGACATATAGTACTGAACTGCTCACTGTAGTTGCAAAAAGTGTAATCGGGAATAGAAAGAGAGAGCAAATCGTAAGGACCTAACAACGATTCCACATCGATTGCACCCGTTTCGAAACGAAAACTGAAGAAAAATTATATTTCCGGCTTGGTTAGGAAATCTCGCATTTAATCTCGAGTTGTGGAACCGGGCCTTAGTTTCCACCGTGCACAGTTTAAACAGAGTCAAGCATCCCTATTGGTCAATTCCATTCAACCCCTATACATGATTGGTTAACTCTGTTTAAACTCTGCACCTCATTGGTTAATTCCATTCAACTCCTATACGTGACTGGTGAACTCTATTTAACTCTGTACGGTGGAAAGTAAGCCAGTCTATAGCACGGGAGTATCGTGTCTACAATAAGTGGTCTGTCGTTTATCCAAGCAACCATGCCGCTGTCGCTGGTTTCTTATCCTATTTAATTTTTTGCAAGTGTTGTACATTAAACAATTTATTATTACAATTTGTATTGTATAGATTTGGTATTGTTCGAAGAAAATTGAAAATGAAAGTCAAACGTCATACTAAGGTAATTACTTTAACATTGTTATTAATAATAAACGAATTAACCTAAGACTAACCTTTATATGTATATGTATTCTTGTAGTGTTAATATTGTGTACATAAAAAATAAATTCAATTACTTTTTTTTTTTTAATTGTAATGCAATTGTAAACACAATATACCTTTGTGACTTTCAGTTGGATGATAAAAATGATGCTACTTTGAATACAGAAGAAATTGACCACTGTGAAAATGTGAATGAACGCGCGATTGCTGGAAAAAGAAAGGCTAATAACGATGAAGTTATACCTAAAAAGAAAGAAAAATTCAATAAGGACTTATATGCAGCACCAACAGTAGAAGAATTAAATCAGCTTCGAGAAACTGAAAATTTGTTCCATTCAAATCTTTTTAGACTTCAAATAGAAGAGGTTCTCTCCCAAGTCAAAGTCAAAGATAAATATAAAAAGCTATTTGATGCCTGGTTCGTCAAATTCAAAGAGTACATTGAATCAATTGAGGAAACAGAAGAATGTCCCGTTAGTGATATTTTTTTTCAATATACTACATATATTGAATTTTTTCCTACATAAAATTGTATATGTTATATGTAGAAAATTTCATATCTCTAAATATTTTACCTCATAAGTTATCTTTCTAATCTTCTATATCATTTAAATTGATATTATTGCAGCTCACTGAGGAAGAGTCATTACATAAACTTGAGGCTGTGGTGCCAATTACCAATATCCCTGAACAGAGAAAAGGGACATATTGTTTCAAAAAGCCATCTTCGGTATCCGTTGTGGGGTCTTATGCACTTGGTACAGTTATAGGACCCCAGGTTTCTGTTGATGTATCTGTAGAAATGCCATCAAGTCTATTTCAAAAATTAGACTATCAAAATTATCGTTATATAAGAAAAAGAGCCATATACTTGACGTTTATTGCTTCGAAAATCAGAGAAGACTTAGCAAAATCAGTCAAATTTGTGCATGATGGAGAAAACCGTAGACCTTATTTAAAACTTATTCCTGCAGGTAGTTTAGGAAAAAAGTACACAATTTTTGTGAAAATTACAGCACATGAGAATAGCTTCAAACTAGGTCGTTTTCATCCCATGAAAAATGGGGTACGACCTAGTTGGATCTTCAATGAAGGCACACAAGATGGTATGTTATTAAATCTGTGTTTCTTTAAACTAAAATCTTGATCTAAGTATCAAATTAATATTTTTTTTTTAATAGAATCTCTGATACCAACACCAAAATACAATACTCTCATTCTTTATGATTTGGTTGCCTCAGAAACTAATTATCGTAATTCAAAACTCTTAAGGGAATATCCCAGTATAAGGGATGGGATAATTTTACTTAAAATATGGCTGACTCAAAGATGTATGACTGATGGTTATGATGGGTTCAATGGACACGTTCTAACCATGTATGTGTTGTATCTGTTACATACAAGGAAATTAAGTACTTTCATGAGCAGCTATCAAATCATTAGAAATGTTTTCAACTCTTTAGGTAAGATTGATCTTATTGTTTAATTATTAAAACTTATTTTATCTATTGTTATAATCGTTTATATTATAATTGATATTTTAGCAAACAGTGATTGGTGTCACGACGGTATCACTATGTGCCAAGATGATGGCATAACAACTAGGATTTTAGAGTATCACAAGTATTTTGATTGCGTCTTTCTGGATGCTACTGGCTACCATAATATTGCTGCTAATATATCTACAGAAACTTTTAATTGGGTCAAAAATCAAGCAGACATTGCTATAAAATGTTTAGATAATGCACACACGGATAGCTTTCAAATTCTATTCATGAGAAAAATACCATTTCATCAAGCTTTTGATAATATTATACGGTAAGTCATCTTCGAAATGAATTTACTACTGTATCAAAAATGTTTTAGCATTGTGAATTTTGTAAAAAAAACAGGTTTCACGATACTGTTGCTTTGGAAAGTATAGTGGATGAAAAATCTCCCTACATGGACAAAGTCGATTTTGGTACCAATAAGCGTTCACAGGCTGTCAAGCTACTCGTGTTAGTTCTTAAAAAAGGTTTAGGAAAGAGAGTATCACTTATAACTGTATTACCAAGTAATAGAACAGAGTGGGAAGTTACTGAAGAGCCACCAAAAACAATGGGATTTATCTTTATTGGCTTGCAGTTAAATCCAGAGTTTTGTTTCAACATAGTTGAAAAGGGACCACCTGCTAATTTACCAGAGGTAACAATAAATAATGTATAACTCAAATAACCAATAATTAAATAATAGTTTCAAAAAGAAGATATAAATAAAAGAGCAAGTAACTTTGTGAATGCAGGCTTTGGAGTTTCGTAAATTTTGGGGTGAGAAATCTGAACTTCGTCGGTTTCATGATGGCTCTATTTGTGAGGCTATTGTCTGGGGACAAGGAAAAACACTAACTGAAAAAAGAGAAATGTGCAAAAGAATTGTCATGTTTTTAATGAAAACTAAATTTAATATATCTGAGACACAGTATATTTACATGGCTCATGAGTTAGAATGCTTCCTTCGTCTTCCGAAAGTAAGTTGAGAAGTAATATCTATTATTTGTGTGGTGGATTACAGGTTTTTAGTGTAAACACTTTTGTTTCAGATAAAAATAACAAAATTTCAATACGGGACTGGAGAAGAAGCTACTATTAGGCTGATACACGTATTTAATTCATTGGAAAAGGAATTAACCTCCTTAACTGATTTGCCACTAACAATCAGTGGTATTCAAGGATCAAGTGCTGTGCTTCGATACACTGATGTTTTTCCTCCATTGGCAACTGTGCATCTGCCTGAAAAAAATCTTGAGGCTCGTGAAAACTGTTATATTTTTAGAGATGCAACTCTTAACAGACTACCAAAACTCGTGCCTTGCATAGAAGCTAGTATTCAACTTTCTTCAAGTGGAAAATGGCCCGATGAGATTGAAGCTGTACGAAAGGTCAAAACTGCTTTTCACATACAGATTGCGGAGTGCCTCAGAAAGAATAATCAACTAAAAACCCAAGCTGGTCCACACTACGTAGACGTTCTTAAGGTAATTGCTATAGAATTTATTATAAATGATAAAAACCTGTTAATAAAACTCTTAGAAATGATATTTTTGAATTATCAGGAAGGTTATGTGTTTCGTCTGACTGTTGCGCATCAAAAAGAAATAAATTTACTGAAGCAACAAATAGATGAGGACGGAGTGATCAAATATAGGGATAATAAACAATCGATAGAACTGGAAAAGAAACTTTTTCATCTACCAAAGATAACAGGAGCTCTTCATGGGTAAAATTATTATTCAAAGTAATGAAATATTAATTGTTGTCGTACTAATCACTGCTTATATAGTTTGCATTCACAAGAACCATCGTTCGGCCCCACGTGCTGTTTGGCCAAGAGGTGGTTGTCCTCCCAACTCTTGGACAATTCCCACATACCAGACATCGTAGTAGAACTCCTAGTGGCGTCTATGTACCTCATACCAGAACCTTATAGACCCGCACAGCATCCTCAAGTCGCATTTTTAAGATTACTGGAAACATTTGCTAGAAATAATTGGTCGACTGACCCTGTCATTGTCAATTTCAACAATGAAATGACTCGTAAGTATTAATATCATACACCTCTAAAACCATTAAGTATCCTTCAGAGTATTATTATAATTTATGATTTCAGGGGATGAAATAGTTACTGTTGAAAACATTTTTAGAACTTCTCGAGAATCTCTGCCAGCACTATTTATTTCCACACCGTATGATCATCAGAACTCGATATGGACAAGTAAAGGTCCCAATCAATTGATTCTGAATCGTATGGCTTCACTAGCTAGAGAATCATTAAAAATCATTGACACGCAGATTGAGTCTTACACAGGATTGAAATGGAAACCAATGTTTCAGCCCCCATTGTCAGAATATGACTGTCTGATACATTTGAAACCATCAATGTGTCCTAGAAGATTTCAAGCAATTGAATTGGAATCTGATCATCCAGTCATCGACTGGCATACCTACAAGTATCATCATCAGCAAAAGATTCCAATTGTGAACTTCGACCCAGTACAGTACTTTCTGACTGATTTACGAGTAAGTTTATTCAGTATCATTAAAAATTTCATGATTTCATTCAGATTGATTTCCGCAATTAAAACCCTTGCTTCATGCTATGGGGTTTGCGGGATCTACAAAATAAGTGAAACCTAGTAAACTTTTGAGAACAGTATGAAGAGTTAGTAAAAAAAAGTATCTCTTTCTATAAATCAACGTTTCATAGTGCTCACCATGATTTACTTCCTAATAATAATTTTTTAGAAATACCTACTGTTATCGATAACAAATAACTTGATTATCAAATAAAAAGTCATTTTTTTCAACACTACACATCAAGTCATAAAGATGGACACACTCAAATCTTCCACAAATATTAAAAATAAATAATTCCTTTTTAGATTGGCTACGACAAGTATGCGTTGTTCTTTCATGACACTTATGGCGGTACAACAATTGGTGTTTTGTTGAGGCCGGATAGTTTGGATCGCAAAGATTTCAAAGTTTCCAATGTGGACTGCAGAATACTGGATGACAGTGGAAAACTGTTACTAAACGTGTCGACCATGATTGAGGATTTTTATATACTTGGAAGAGGATTAGTGGACAGTATAGATGTACAGTCCAAAAAGGTTTCAATGAATTGAATTTAAAATATATATCTTCTGGATAGCATTGTAAACAGCAAATGTATATATATAAATTTAATTCATTAAGACATCCCATATCTTATGTAGTCCTTGAACGAACACTGATAATAAGAATATTACCATAGACCTAACAATGAAGATAAGAATAGGGTTCCTTTGTACTGTATATTTATAAGTAAAGATAGGACTGTTACTGTTAACAGTATGTCGCGCTATCAGTATAAATAAGAAAATGATTGCCATTCATATATGACATATTGAAGTCCATAGTGGCCGCCTGACGGTACGTAGTAGTACAGCATTGAAGGTCCTAGAGATTTGTAAAATTTGTATATTTGTTTTTGGTGTCCTGATTTTTTCGGAGACAAGGGAAAACTCAAAAGACGATTGTAATTTGATATACAATTTGACTGCTTCTATTCTGAACATACCTTTTTCGGCAGGTTTAATATACAAGCAAATTAATTCTATATCGCATTTTATATGCCCGATTTCTACTGAAAAAGATTCTATACAAGTATATTTATTTTCATTAAGTCATTTTCTAATGTACATTAACCCTCTCAAGAAGGGTTGAAGTTAGAAAAGCTCTACCAGAGATGTTTAGGTGGACCGTTTAAATCATATATGGAATAGTCACTTAGTCACTTGTCACAATTACAGTGGAATGTTCTGTACGTAATAATTGTTAAAATGAAAAACCTGTCACGTAGTAGATAATACAATCTAGGCTGGGGGAAAGGGCGTAGTCGTGGTCGAGTTTATATCCTATAATTTCGTCGGCCTCCCATTCCTCATGCTCCAAAGTAGCATCTAACTTCCGCTGCATTTCTCGTTGATACTTTGTACTCTTCGCTACACTTTTTTCTTCGTACACAGCTTTGAGTTCGTTTAGAGACACGAGAATTTGTGGCGTTGCCTCGTCCGAAACTCGTCCTCGTGCAGTTACCGTATTTTGGTGGCTTTAGTATGCTGTATATCGACAGCAATTTATACAGCTGTTTTCTTCCAGGCTTTCAGCATTGCTCATCGATATTTCCTCTTTTTTCTCATTCAACGATTGCAGTAACAACGTCATTCGTACTTTCGCGCGGTTTTTCTTCCGTGTTTCGTAACTTTTTTTTTCGCACAGCCGCTAACTTCTCTTTCCCTACTGGACTTAAAGAAGTAAAAACGCGTTGTTTCGTTTGGATTTTCTTGAATCTTGTTTCCTTCTGTAATTGTACTTTCCGCAGCTTCAAGCACATGTCGCATTTCTTCGTTTTTGCGATTAGAGGGCAGTCGTAGTGATGCCATTGATGAAGATAGTCTTGAAATACATTGTCAATTTGCAGGTGACGGACATTGACGAGGCCTATGCCGCTGCATATGTTCATTCTTTCGAATTTACCCAAAATATTTCAGTGTTTCAATATCATCCAGAACTTGAGGGAGCTTTGCGTCCTTCGTGTTAACGGGACGACCGTAAGCGTGGTAGCGTAAAGTTTTATCACGGTAGAGAGTTATACACTTCTGTATTATTATCGTATCTTGTACGCTTCTTGTTACCGGTCTAGCATACGAGAATAGGAGATTCTCGCCGGATACGATCGATAATTTTGAAACACTCCACGATTTTGGTACCGCAGCAGAAGAGGTTTTCTCGACCTTCGTATCATCGACTTGTCGATTAGTACCTACGATCAGTTACAAGTCAAATATCTAGTAAAATTCAAATCGATAAAATTATCCGATATGAAATTGTGTGCTCTATATATAAAGTTGAGTTTGATTTTGATTTTGAAGACTGGCATAATGAACGCAAATTTATATTAAGTAATGCACGGACCTGCCAAATAGTACTCGATAAGGAATCACCTAAAGTGTCAACATGAGTGTGTCCCAGAAAGGAGCACTTTATAGGAGCAGGACGACGATTGAACTCAACTATGAAGTCGATGTGTTGGATAATCCTAGATTGGTTCATAAGAAAGCGATACGTACTAAAATAGGAAAACCTAGTGGTCGTTTGGATGAAGAAATGATAAAACATCCTGCGTGGTCGACTTGCGCTAGGTATAAGATTAACATTAGTGATAAGGTTGTCAGAACTTACGTTAATGAAATCGTTAGTTATGGTTTCAATAATAGTCATGTGGAGATGGTAATTAAGAGATCTGTTACTGTTATAATGAATTACTTGAAATCAAAAGGATTTCTTGCCACTCTCTGGATTCATCCATTCATTAACAAAGGTTGTGATCCCTCGTTTTCAGGGGCGTTAAAAAATGGTTACTTTCGCTAAGAATCTTCAGGATAAAGATTACACTGAATGGTGGCAAGGTGAGACAACTTTCTTGAATTATCCAGCTAACAAAAACTACGACACATCTTTTAACTTCATCATTAAAATTTTAAGGCGAGGATGCAGCTACGATTGAGTTCACAAAACCAAAAGAGACAAGTTTAACGACGCTAAGATAGATTAATTGTTAATATAGGTATATAATTATCGAATATCTGTTTTCAAAGTTTAGTAGCCAAGTGGAAGATGAAAAGATGCATATGGATAGACTATTATTAACGGTCCTATTTGACTGCGCAATTACAACGCGGCTCCAAATATTTTGCCATACTTTTATAAACTATAATACTTATCTAAATTAGAAACTATTTAAACTGTGGTAGCTGCAGAAACGGAAGCTTGTTTAAAAAATGGTTAAATCATTTATGTTTTTTGATTGGAGTCAGTCAAGAGGAGAACGTTGTATAAAAAATAATACTAATTCATTAATTAACTACAAGCAGAGATCGGATTTCTGTATTCAGTTTTACTATGACAGTGTCGTCGATGGTATAACTTCCTGTCCTTAGGAGGGAATCACGCTCCTCTATGAGCATTCTCAATCTCTCATCGCGTTCTTCGGATTTACTAGACACTTCCGACCTTGTTACATTGCGATTGAAGTTACAGCGTAGTGATTCACTTGCAGACAAGTTTTGTTCTTCTATATCCTTACGCAGGATATCTTGATTCGGTCTGATCACATCGATTTCCTTCTGAATTTGCCCTAGGAGGATTTGATCGTTGGTCAACGCTGTAATATCAGCTGTGAGTATTTCCTCAAGACTGCAAATAATAAACACAGTATAATTATGAAAAGATGATAGTCCACGATGAGAAGCGACAAATATGTATTAACCTGGATCATTCATGCCATCGGAAAATCGATTTAATTTAGTTCCTGTGTTTAAATCTCAGTAAAAAAACAAGGTTTCAAAATTTATTTTATAAAATTGTGACAATTTAATTTTATAGTTATTATCCGGGAAACATCAAGGAATGTTTTCAGATTTGTTGAAAATGATAAGATTAAATAATGTGTTACGGAAATGAGAGACCCATGTGTGGCGTTAACGAGTTCCAAAAACAGCGATGGAGATCTTACGTAAATTTTTCAAAAAAGTACTTACTCCAAATTTTGTAATTCCTCCTTGCTATTTTTTATTTGAACCTCCAAAGCTTTCTGATGATCCGTTTTCATTCGATGTATTTCTCGGACTGCCTTGCCCCATTGTTCCTTGAAGAAGGTCTTGCTGCGCTGTGCAGTGTGCAATTTTTCTTCAAGAGCCTTCAGATCCTGAAGTAAAGTTGCAGTCTGATCTTGTGTAAGGGAACCCTTGTGAAATTTCTCAAGCTGGTTAGTTTGTCTTTCTACAATTTCATGCAATCTTTCATTTTCTTCCTTAAGAGATTTGAGTTCTGCTGTAAGAAGTTTTCTGTCCTCCTCCATCGAAATTAGCTGAAATAATTCAAAGATTCTAAAGATCTAATGATAAAGTACATATTATTAATTTCGATAAAGATCAATATTAACCTTTGACTTTAGGTCTTCCTCCATTTCTTTGGAAGCTTCTCGGAGTTCCTTTAACTTCCTCTCGTACCTCCATTGTAGATCCTCATTAGCTTTTTTTAATCTAGCTTCCTTTTCCAAACTTTTGAGTCTTCTATTACGCAAGTCTTCAGTAGCGTTGTTCAAACTGTTTGCCAGCATTTTGCATTGTTCGACACTGCAGGCCAATTTGTTCTCCAAACTTTCACGTCTCTTCTGCCATTCTTCGCTAAGTAAAGAAAGGTGACGTTCTTCCTTCCTTTTGAGCTATATTTTCGACTGTGTTAAACCTACAACCTTAGGTACCAACTTAGTTTTACATACCTCGGTCCGGAACATTTCCTGTTGATGTTCTTTCCAAGTTTCCAGCTCATCCACAATTTTGTAAGCCAAACCATCATCCAAAACAGGATACTTGGTGCAGCGTTCCTCTTTGGTACCTTGCCCAAAATCCCCGGCAGGATTTCTGTGAGAATCTATTTCCTGACTGACAGCACGTTCAGTCTTTCCAATACTGGTGGATAGTACAGAACTATTTTGAAGCTTTTGTTGTCTTAGATCGGCCATGGAACATGTATTTTTTAAACCCATGTATTGAAGACTTAGGTGTATGTCCACATAAGGAGGGTTTTCGTCATTCTGATTAAAATTTTCTAATTTCAGATAGCAACGTTGGTCTAAGGTCGCACAGGAATTTGTAAACAATTTCAGAAACTCCTGAATGTCACTGGTTGGTACCAGAGGTCGTAGATCGATTTCGGATCTACCTAAAGTACCTTGATCATGTCGCAATGTTATTAACAAATAGGGCTTTTCTTGTAAATAATTCTTTAAAGTAGCTAACGAGCTTCTGATTCTTACAACAACCTTCTCATTTAGCACCCACGTTTTTTCAATGTTATTCTTAACTGGTTTAAGCTTTACGTCGTTCTCTAAAACCTTATACCAGAAACAGATTTGGTCCTCTGATTCACTAGGCACTTGTTCCAGAAAGTCAAAATTAGATGCAGTTCCTGCAGTAATATTAAGCAGGAACAAATCACGACAGGTAGTCAATGGTCCTAGTTGTATTAAACGTTCATCGTGTATAAGACGTGGTGTCATATAAGAATTTGCATCAGGACCTTGCAATTCTGAATCATTTTTAAGCTAGATATAAATACAATCTGAGTAGACATGATTTTGTAAATGCTTGTTCTTGAAAATCTCAAACTTTTTTACCTCCAAATATGGACCAGCTACATGCTCTTCAACAGTTAATGCAAGTAGCAGTTGTGGTGCATAAGGCTTCAATTCACTATGTACCCCAGCTAATTTGTGCCAGCTTGTCTTTGCAATAGAATTGCCATGTTTTAAAAGAACTTGTGCCGACCGCAATCCTAGCAGAATATAGCCAATCCTGTCCTTTGTTGCATTTTCCTTGAGAAGAAAACATTCAACTTTTAAGGGTGTCTGTCCGGAACGCATTCTAGAATTGAGGAATACAAGTACAAAACAACACAGGCACTCTGCCAAAAATATTTCTTGATAAAAAAAAGATCTATAACAACTTTAACACATACTTTCTCAGAGTATACTTGTCGATCTCCCAAACCAAATCTGTGCCATATTGAGGTTTTGGATTTGCTTCGATACAATCTGTTTCTAAGAAATGACCATCGAGTGTAGCAACGACAAATGTCGAATTGGTAACAAGTTCAAATCCTTTACCTTTATTAAATGAAAGTAGGTTAGATTTCCGAAAATAAAGCAAGAAACATAAATTACTTGTCTTACCTTCTCGAACACTTAATACAATTTGAACGTTGGATCCCGTGAGATCCTCCATTCGTTTGGCATCAAAAGAAAATGCATCAAAAAGAAAGAATGAAAACAGACGCTTAGAAAATGTCGCGCAATCATTCGCGGTTTATATACGGTACCATGGCAACCAGGAGATGTCAATTCTCATGAAAATCGGTAGTGACTGCAGCGCCTCTAGTTTAGAAGCTTTTAATAGAACTAGAAATCCAATATCGTGGATAATGTCAGCAACAGTGAAAAATGAAATAAAATAAAAAAAAAAAGTTCTCAGTAGGACTTAGTTATGTCGCGGCCTAGTGATAAATAATCTCACTAGAATTGAGCGGCGAATTCAAATGAGGGATTAAAATGGAGTCACGATTTCCGTCTGCAAATCAGAATTCAATGCTTTCAAATACTCAGTCTGCCATTAACGCATAAATAAGGTATATTCTAAACAATTCGGAGAAAGCTTTCTAGCCGCTACACGTGCATAAACATATGGACTACAAAGAATGTAAGCATGGGCCATTTGTTTATTGCTATCCTAACTGAGTGAGTTTCTCAGGAACTCTCACTCCTGGCAATAAATGAAGTCACTTGAGAGGATCGACGGGCTAGCGGAATGTTCGGTTAAGGTATGACGCTGTCCATGTGCTTCCCCAAATAAACTAAGGATAGGGTGTGCATGAGCCCTTTGTGCGTAAGACAAGGCCCTCGATCTTGGGCCCGGACAGCAAGGCGTCACACGCTGGGCCTTCACAAAGGGTGACATACACATGAATGTGTATGAGTGCGGATGCATGCATGAGAAGTATGAAGGACTGTATCTCTTGGGATCCAGAAGGGCAGTTCGATTTCTGGTCTTGAAGGGTGTACTTCGAGTCTATATCGTAGAGTCATTTAGCTAGATTCAGATAAGATAGATTGATTGAGATTATTATAATTAAACTAAATAAAGTTAGTTTTAATGCTCTCCAAAAGCACCTGCATTTTTATTCCTAAAGCCTTTAGTCAGTTGAAAATCCATCCATAACATCACCGTACCAGAAATCAACATATATACAGAGGATTGAACACCGTTGGAGTGCTCATCAGAGCTTTGGTGGCTAACGAACCCACCTCGCCAGATTCACACAGTCGAATCTGCCGCGAAAACGACAGTGGCGACGATCAGGACGTCACAACTTGAACATAAGATTCTCTTGTTATGAGACGGACGAGACGGACTTTATATCCATGTGCTACTCATTCCTACTTATTTTTAAATGAGAAAACTTATATTTGCGTTATGACCCACGTTTAGTGTTTAGGGTTTCAGGCTTGGTGCTTAATTCGGTTTACTTTAGTTTACTTATTACTAATTTGATTAAATGCTAAATTATTTATATAGTTTTCTGTCGCAAATATCTTTTGAATACAGATAGAGACACTCGTGTCGGCGTCAGATAATCAGATGAGTCAACACGTTGGTGGTGCACTTAGTTATTTTCTTACAGATGAACTATTCTAGTGTCCGATGATTTCCTATACCAGTTGACACCCCCTGATGGCAATGAACAGTGATAACGAAGAAGTAACACCAGACGAAAAAGGAAGTACACAAGGGGGTCGACTGCATATTTTCACTGTGGCGAAAATACGAAAAGTGAATACTGTTAGCTAATCGCGTATTAAGGTCAAAAGAAGAGAAGTAGAACGATTGGTTAAAAGTAATTTGCTTTTCGTAATGTTGGCATAGCGATAATACTTAAGCGACCCCTTTGTGTCAGATAGTAAGAGTATTCCAATTTATTATCCTTAAACTGTGCAATTAGTAACATACGATTTATTTCAGAATTGAAATTGTTGTCTTCGCGAGGAACATGAAAACGTAATTGTATTCATATTATTCCAAAAAGTGTAGTTGACAAATTCATAAAATTAAAAAAATAACGCTTTTGCGTATAATGTTGTACAACATATTGTCTGATCATCTGTTTTATAATATAATATAATATATATATATATTATATCAAAGAATAGATCTGCAAAATAATTTATCAGTTAACAGACTGAATTTTTATATTTTGAAGAAGAACCCAGATAAAATGTACTCAATTAAAACTCAAACTGCACTAAACTAGTGATTCCTTAATACTTTTTACTTGAACTTGCCGCTCAATCCTAGTGAGATTATTTATCACTAGGTTGCGACATAACGTATATTGAAGTAGGAGCTTATTGTCATAAGTTCGTTTATCTTACCTATAATTTTTGCATTTTTCAAAAAGAACAAGGCTATTATGTACTCAATCTGAATTCATAATGTGAAAATACATGTGAAAGAATAGTATGAAAGTACACTGCATCAATAGTAAGAAATAATTCCTTATCGCAGCTAGTATTTAATAAAAAAGACTGGCCAGGCATAGCAAATTCAGATGTGTATCAAATGATAGTCTTCTATAGAATGAAGAAGTTTAAGATAAGTAAAGATAAAAGACAAGGTCGAAAATCGTGTAAGAGTAAATTTTTTGTTGATACATTACATTTTACTTAATTTTCAAGAATGTATCGTGTGCAGTAATACTTATTATTTCTAATCTTTTACTAAGAAAAACTTTTTAAAGAAACTATAATCAGAATACAGAGTATCTGATTGTGTAAATATTTATAAAAACATGAGATCTTCTAAGCTACCAAAATACAATGATTAGCTAAAAACATTTTATCCATGTCACACCTGATTCCCGGTGAGTCAGTTATCGACATTCCTTTGTGAGTTTTCACATGGTGACGTTCATCCTGACGTATTTTATGCTTAATAGAAATAAGATTTGCTGATTACCTATTTATACCTACATTGCGAATCAATCCTTTTTATTTCAGTTGACATTCCGTTCCCAAATTCGCAAATTCGATAGTTCAAAAATAAATTGACCAAGTATTTTCGGAAAGTCGATTTGTTTCACGTGATCATGATATCCTATCTACTGTAGGATATCTACAAAGAAATCTTTAGGTACGCTATTGCCGTATAATATAATAATATTATATCCGATAAGCCATGGTGGTGTACCTTATCCAGTGAAGTACATACACAAAAGCCATAGCACTTTTCATGGGATTTCTAGGTGAAAAGTAACTAGAAAAAAGCACGCAGGAATCGTCTCGTCTCGGTGGCTGTCATGGCTGACTCATTGTGAGAGGTTTCGAGTGTTGGGGATACGATAACAAACGGTGTGCCACGAGAGATTCGTTAGTTCTATAAATTGAATTACGCTTCGTAGCGAGGGTGTTGTTCTTGGTCTTTTCCTAATTGAAATCCGAGTGAATCGTGCTTGACATTTTTTCTGTCGTGAACCGATGCGCAGTTTTTGGCAGCGAAAAGGTGAGGCGATACGGAGACAGTGTGCTTAGCGTGGCCCGTGCCCTCCTTTTTCTAGAGAAAATGAACGGCTTGAGTCTGAGTGAGCTTTGCTGCCTATTTTGCTGTCCACCATGTCCGTCACGGATTGCCGCCAAGCTGGCCTTCTTACCACCAGAACCGACCTACACCTTCGTCGAGGACGAAGGCTCAAAGTTCAGCATATCTTTGTCAGAGCGTGCCGAATGGCAATATACTGAAAGAGAAAAAGAGTCTGTTGAGGGATTTTATGCCAGAACTTCACGGGGAAATAGGATTGCTTGCCTATTTGTACGCTGCTCAGCAACGGCACGCTTCACTATATTATTCTCACATGGCAATGCTGTTGACCTGGGACAGATGTCTAGCTTCTATTTGGGTCTTGGATCAAGGATTAACTGCAATATATTCAGCTATGACTATTCGGGATATGGTGTTTCTGGTGGGAAACCTTCTGAGAAGAACCTGTATGCTGATATCGATGCTGCTTGGCATGCACTACGCACTCGATATGGAATCAGCCCTGAGAATATTATATTGTATGGACAAAGTATTGGGACAGTCCCTACTGTGGACTTAGCTGCTAGATACGAAGTTGGTGCTGTTGTTCTTCACTCGCCACTTATGTCTGGTATGCGGGTTGCCTTTCCAAATACTAAAAGAACATGGTTCTTTGATGCCTTCCCTAGGTACGTGGACTTTATAAGTTTGCAAAGGCATTGCTAAATTGAAGGAGGTATTTGATTTTTATTTTTATTACAGTATAGATAAAGTGCCGAAAGTTACATCTCCAGTCCTGGTCATCCATGGTACAGAGGATGAAGTTATCAGCTTCAATCATGGCCTGGCAATTCATGAGAGGTGTCCTAGAGCTGTAGAACCTCTGTGGGTTGAGGTACGTAATTAATTTATTATTACACTGCATAATAAATCAATACTATTATATTAAAGCATTTTAAATAACCTTATGTGTTTAGTGATGTTTCAATCACACTGGAATACAAATTGTCAACTGATGATAATACCAAAGAATGTTAAATTGTTTGTCCTAATCTCTGTTCACACGCTTCTTTGCATTGCTTTTATTAGTTTCATCTTGTTTAAATCACGATCATTATCGTCAGATTCTTTCAAAACACTCTTCATATCTTAACCTAGATTTTCTATAATTCAGGGTGCTGGGCACAATGATGTGGAGCTTTATAACCAATATCTGGAACGACTGAAACAATTCGTGAATGTAGAACTAGTAAACTGACGGCGACTTAGCCTCTCCCAGAGTCAGGGAGGGCCAGTTGGTGGTGGGCACACTCACGTCAGCAGTCAAGGACACTCCGTATCGAATAACTCGAACACCATAAGCTCAATGTCAACAAGTTCGCCAACGGAGAAGCTCCTATAGCAATCGCCTTCCGCAGGGGAGGTTGCCCCAATCCTTCCCTGTGATGGAGAGCCATCCCCACTCTCCAATGATGAGGCGAACCTCCCACTCGATGAACTGGATACGAGTATCCTAGAGAACTCTGAATGTGGACGTAAGTCTTCGGCGTGCAGCAGGAAAAGTGAAGCTGCGATGTATGTTAATGTGAAAGCGGATGAAAAAAAGGTAGTGGGAAATAGCGTCAGCAGAAAGGTGGAATCTAAATATTCTGGAAAGTCTGCCGTGTCTCAGAATATTACTAGGGTAAAGAACACTGACGAAATATCATCAATTAACACTATAGATTCAAAAATGAAGTGTACGTGGAACAGTGGCGAAAGAGTGTGTCAGACATCTGAAAAGTTGAAGGTTCATGAGAGAAGCAGCTCTATGGAAAAGACATGCACAATAAAGAACAGTCCGTGTAGTCCGTTGAAGAGCTTAGGTTGGTCTCGCGATATGTGTCGAGGTAGTGGGGATCGTCGGCAATCTGGAGAATGCAAAGAGAATATCGAATCTTGTGATAGGCTTGGGGCGAAGATGAGTTCTCAAAAATTTGTGTTAAATTCTCCAGGAATTTTCCATAAAAATTTAGTGAAAATTCAGGTAGAGAATTGCCTTCAAGTTACAGAGAAGACTAATCCTTCATCATCTGGAGGTACCTCTAGAAAGGACAGTAATTGCGAAGAATTTCAACCCAAGGCCAATGCTCTAGTATCCATGGCGAACTACAATTCAATCGAAACGGCAGCCGAAGTCGAACGTGACAAGAGCAGTAAGAAATATTCTGGCAAAACAACGACCATCGTCCAGACAACTTCCAAAGGTAAAAAATCCACAGAAAATACAACATCCACTAAGTTTCTTGACTCTGCCAAAAAGTATTTGTGGAGCAGTGCCAAGAGCTCCAAGAGTCAATCATCATCAAACAAAGATATTGATAGATCCAGGCTCCAGGAACATAGCACTGCTATGGAGAAAGTATTGAAAGTTAAGAAATCAGGATGTAGTCCGCTGAAGAAGTTGAGTCGATCGTCTCTTAGCATTGAACCTGATAAAATTACTATTAATCTGTCCAAGTATTCCCCCTGTGCAAGCAGGCTAGCAGCAAGTTCCAAGATCCTGTCGAGCAGCTCCACCACAAGTCCAGAAAGTCCTCTTCGAGTGGTGAAATCAAGGAGTCCCTCTCGTGTAGAGAACCAAGTATTAGAACTCGACGATAGATCCGTGGAGATGACTCTCAGAGCGAGTCTGTCTCTGAATATTCAGCACTGCCCAAAGTCGACAGCAGCGCCACGTAGCAAGAGCGTCGGTGACAGCTGTATTACTTCACCAACTAGTGAAGAAACGACAATGAGTTATTCGCCAACAGGCACTGAAATCTTATCCCTGGAGGAGGTTGTTGCTCAGCCGCGACGTCCACCAAAGCGTAGCGATTCCGCACGTGGTCGAACTCCAAAAAGGAGCCGTAGTATCCCGACCAGGATGGAGAAACCGCCGCGAAGATCTAGTGATAATTCTCAAGGCGAATTGTCCCACGAAAATCTCACGGATTATTTTTTAAATGGTTTACGAAGCACTACCGAGGATTTCTCCAGTGATGTAGTGCCAGTGAGACTATACATACCACATTTTTAAGATTTATTAGAATATTTTTACGAGTTAAGGGAAATAACGTATATCTTGAAAGGGTTTAAAAAGTGATGGGAAAGTGCGCGTCTAACCAGAAAAAGAAAGTCGAAGAAAATGCGTGTATGCGTGCGTCTTTATAAAAATTAATGCAAAAGAACTATCGCTAAGATGGAATATTTATGATTCAGAAAGAAGTAACAAAAGAAAAATGAAAAAATAGAAATTAGAAAATTTTGCAAACAAAAAAAAATATACGTAGAACCGATCGCCTTGTTGTTGCGCATTTTTGCGAAAGTGCCAAAGAGTCGAACAAAAAAGTGTTTAAATGGAATGTCCAGTAACCGACATTCTGTACATGTCGATAAATAGCGCTCGGTTCTACCCTAAAGAAGCATTCACAAACGTTTTTCCATGTTTTTCGTAAAATGCGAATTAAGTAATTGTTGTTTTCAATGAGAGAAAATTTTATACCTTCTTTATCTACAGGAAGATAATTCTGTTTTCAATATAAACGCTCTTCTATTATTCGGAATCCATTTTATACTAGCTACGAGTTTTAAACGCTCGTTCGGCAATGCTGTCTATTAAAAGAGATTATTCTTTTCTGTATTTTAGAGATTAAAGTACATTGTGAAATTTTGTTCGAGAAAGCCCCCCGCCCCCCCGCCGATGACTTTCAAGCATCGATAACGTTCCGTTTCGACATGCGCTTATATTTCTTCATCTGTTGTTTTTTTTTTAATTATAACATAAAAAACAAAGAATCTCTAATTTACGTTTAACCGCGGCACTAGGATGAGTTTTTACGTCCACGATACGTTATTGCATCTGAAATTCTATTCTTTAAAACCATTACCGCAAAAGATTATCAGTTTCTTTTTTATTTTTCTTTGTGATTTTTTTCCACTATTTGGGTAAAAGGCCAAAAGTAAAACCATATGGCAATGTAAGCAGTTAGGCATTAAGAGGAAAGGTTTGGTAATAGAAGTAAGAAGATATAATGATAAGAAAACCGCCAATTACTGTGACGGTGAGATTGTAAAGATTCTTCCTAATAGCGCAGGATGTGTTATCAAGTATCTCCATAGAGTATAGGTCATGTAAGGACTCGATATCGTAGAACGATGTTTTCCAATATCGAAGCCGATGAGAGTCTTCTTAGGATAAATTTGTATTACAATAGAATTTCAGTGCTGTTTATATTTGTTCCGTATCTACCAGAAAGAGATCTATGTAAGTCTATTGTACAATGAGAAGAGTGGAAACAGAAAACAGAGAAATTTTCTATGAGTACCAAGCAATTAGAAGCAATTTATATTGTATCCTTATAACATTTAAGATGTACTGGTCAATTGGAAAAAGAATTTTTTTATTTGCTCATTTTCTTCATTGTACAATGGATTCCACTTTGTAATCCTTAGATGCCTATTGATTGGCATCGGGTGAAACGAATGTTTGTTATTTCAGGGTTGAATTCTGCGATGACAGTTCAATTCAATGAAAAATGTTCATTCTGCAGCAGGTTTTGGAAGACTTGAGAAGATTTTTATCATTGAATGTCGACGTCCTTATCAACATATATCGCAATGACTGAAGGTGATTACAAAAACAAGTGAATCTTTTAAGGTAGATAAGATTAATATACACGTCTGTCCCTCCCTAGTAGTTGGACTATAGGTATTAAGAAATCTTGTTAATTTGATAAAATCAGAGATAAAGAAAAATTGGAAAATAATTTTAACATTGAACGAAGCAAAAGATAACTCAGTGGTTGGAGTCACATGGCGAAATTCGACTCGTTGTGTCTTATTGATGGCAAATTAAAAAAAAAAGGAAAAGGAGGGGTTAGGAGTACTTCTAAATAATATAAGCATATACATAACGAGAGAGGAGTAAGAGATTGAATAAGGAGATATAAAGTATAAATAAGAGGGAGGAGGAGGGAGGGGGGATAAGATAAAAATTTAAAAAGGTGTGAAGGATGATAAGCTGGACAGATGAAAATAGCTAGGGACAATATTACTGCCAAAAAAATAAACTCTTGATTATGAGAAATAAAAACGAGGATTAGTCAACTGATATGAAATTGTGTTTGAACGTTGGTGGTTTTGAAATTAGAGTGAAGGGACGGGGAAGGACGGTTAATTAGATAATGGGGAAACATACAAAATGGGTAATGACCTCGAACATACGTTTCTTGTTAGTATTTTTATATCGCAAGAGTGTACATAATTCATGACCGCGCACTGATGAAAACTTTCTTCATGCAGTTCAGCAGGTAATCTAAGTGAAATCAAGCAGCAAACAAATAAATAATATAAAGAGTAAATAGGCCGCAGGCTCTCAGCCAATGGAAGAGACCGACCCGACAATCGAGTTTTCAATCCGAGAGAAAGCAATATCGTTACGATTGGTCATGTTTGGCACGAAATCGTAAAATCAGAATGGGCAGATGAAATTTGTGAAAATATTGAAAAATCTTTGTTTCGGTAAATATATGAAATCCAATCGTTCCATCGGCTGCTCGATTTGCGCTGCGATCTAAGACGACACGGCCGCATAAGAGGAAATAAAAATATCATTTGGTATTCAATTTTTTGAACGATCGATTTTGTTGATCTAAAGAAATGGACTTGAATTAGCATGCGAATTTTTTTATTGTATTGTTATTTTTTGATTCGAATGCGACCAATCTATGTGCAATAATTATTCATCGTTCCATTTATCGAATTTCTAAATGACTTCAACCGATTTCACAGTAAAATCTGTACGGCCCATGGTTTTCCAAAGGAGTAACATGAAGTAGGACGTTTTAGTTTCAATTTTGAATGTCGTGTTGAATCTAGTGGATAATAAATTTAGGTTAGACGCGAGACGATACTCGCACGTATATTCCTGTAGCGATTTTCCGTAAAGTTAATTTAAAAAATGGGGAAAAAATGAAAAAAGCGAAGTAATATTTAGAAAGTTGATATATTTAGCGAGAGAACGAACGTGAAAATTGTGCGTATTGAGATTCTGGGAAAATGAGAGCTGCGTGACAGAATGGACGTCTTAGAGAATTTTCGAAACGGTGCGTATGGGCTTAATCGCTCGACGATAGCGCCATCTAGTGTTTTATACTTCCATCGCACTTCCGGCGCGTGATCTTAACTTTATTAATCGTGTCGTGCGTTTATTATTACCTATAATTATCATGTAAATTACATGTCTAAGCACATTACAAAATGGCTATTATATATTGAGCTTGTTTGATTCCATCTTACTTTTTATTATTTCGCTCTTTAATTATCCGTCCAAGATTGTTTATTGACATTATTAATTACTGGTACTTACCGCTCCTCCGGACCCAGACCGACCATGTTGAATTATGACGTCATAAGTGAGGTAACGTATTTTCCAACCTCTATAAGAAACTATCAACCTTTCGAGACTGGATGAATTTGGTTCCTCATATGTGTTGGCTATGATCTACATTCCGTTTAGGCATTCTGACTGAATATGTAACCTTCAAAATACAACAAAAGAGAAGGTGATATATCACTATCTATCTATCTTAAGTCTATCATGCGCGTTAAGGAAGTTGGAGTGCTTCACGCCAGTCAAATCAGTGCTAAATATTTTTTATCGTTTTTACAAAGTTTTATGAATTAATTGATTTCAGTGAAGGGTGATTTGTATTATAACAAGTGCCCATAACCCATGGAAACATTCATAGCGATGAATTTACATAAATATTAAGTACCTGATTGATATCGATTTCCGAACAGGTACATATTTTCAATTCTTTTCTAAGAATAATCCGTAATTTTTTACAGATTTTAATGAAGCATGGCTCATTCCGTTTCTTATATTATCCTTTATTATATCCTATCCTATATCCGTAAATTATCCTTCTTTAATAAATATAACCATTTGTTTATGAAGAAATTGTTGTCGCTGGGATAAAAACAGGCTGTCATTTTCAAACGGTTAACACTATTCAATATTTAAACGGTCGATTTGTAGAGCATTTTTCGAGAAACAGAATAAGTGGTCCCGCATTTAAAACGATAAAGAATTACGGATTATTTTTGGAAAAAACTCAACGAAAACATACCTTCTCGGAAATTAACATTAATTAGTTAATGTTCTTGCAAATCGGCCAGCATCATTGTTTTCTGTGGCCTCAACCAATGTTACATAATGCATCAAATTTACAAAAACGATTACTAAAATTTAGCACTGATTTAACCGGCGTGAAGCGCTCCAACCTCCTTAACATATGAGTCTATTACACTTTTAACACAATAATGGACCGCAGATGTCGGCAGACGGACGGAAAACACATTCCGTTACAGATTTACGATTGAAATATGTAAGACGGCTGGAAAAGGTGAAAAGTTCACCGTCTAGAGTTATTATTTTACTATTAAGTACCGTGTACAGTTATTCCGTGTAGAACTTGTCCGTATATATGTTATTCATATTCATATTTCTAACTTCCGATCTGGATTCGGAGGAGCCTTAATATCCCATATTCAATCTACTTGCGGTTAAAGATTTAATTACGCCGTTGTAAGTGAATTATGAAAAAAATTCAATTGCATATCAAACTTTATCTGCAGTCGGCATTGTCGGTCACTACAGTTACTATGGAATTAACATGTCACTTCTATTGCGACTAACAGATGGCCCTACTCATAATCAGTAATTTCTCACTGTCTGACAAGTGTCGAAAGCACATTGCAATAGTGCCTGGTTAATATATTTCCCTGGTCAAACAAATTTAGTATTCCAAGTATTGTTAATTAATTATTCGAGAAGTAATTGTTCAAAATCAACTACCTACGAAATTCAGCTATCTGTCAATTACAATTATCAAAATGAAAACCTTGTGGAAATGTATTTGCATTTTCACAGCATCGCAGCCACAATATCCATAAAACACTCTCTGTCACTTAAATAATACAAATGCGTTTATGACAAATAAGGTGCAGGGTTAACCTTAAATATTTTAGATTCTCAAGTCGAAGGTTAACCTGTCCCCATCCGTTTTACAAGAAACGCATGGCCGTAGTGAGGCGCGGCTTTGGCTCAGGCTCACCTGCATCGAAACCCGAAGCGTACAATAAAAATGAGAACAGGTTACGCGCCACTACCCTGCCTGCTGGCTTTACAGTTGATTGATATAATTCCACGCAGAGCAAGACGACCTATTTCATCCTTACCAGCCACAACATAACTATAGAACCAGGATCAAATAAGAGCTTACTAAAAGGTAAAAATGAGTCCTTGATTTTGTTCAATGCCGATAGTTATGAAATATCAATATGAAAATCACTCTGAGAAAACCTTCAAACGTAAATAACGTCGTAGACTCATGTTCTATTTTTTTCTTAACCAGTTGGACCAGGAAACACGAGTACCAGGTCGGTTATCCTACACAAGAATTTAGCTAGCATACCTACAGTAAGTAATGAGTGTTCCGGCGCCGCTCTGGCGATCGTCGTAAAGGTTCAGAGTGACAGATTTATCCAAGGATGGCTTATCTGCTCGCCTTTTGACTATTAAAAATTCACAACAAGGCTCAAGCAAGCGTTCGTCTCATATGCTACGCCCTTATAATAGAGCGTAGCGTCACGCAGTCTGCAGAGACGCTATACGACGCCATGAGCCTTGCTGGCGACCTACGTATGTATCTACACACGTATCGCGTCGTCCTACACAAAGTGCCATTCTCTTTGACTCCTTCTGTGTAGGCCACTGCTGTCTTATTATACAACCCACCGACATTCGCTTACAACTTCATCCATCACCGATCCGAGGACCCAGCGCCTCTGACTGAAATTCAAAATCAACGATAAGTGAAAGTACCCACGTGCATCCATAATACGAATTTCGAAATTATTTTACGAACACGCAATAAACATTCAAGGATTAGCGTGCGACGATGAGCATTAGGTAAACAAGTCTTCCAACCTACGTGACCCGAGGTATACCTGATGCATGGAGAAACGCAGTTGCCGTTAACGCAGCCCAGCGTAATATACGCAATGCACACTCGAGCTGATGAAAGAGAATGTATGAGGCACATATGTGCATACATGAACATTCTATAGAATTGATCTGTACATACATATGTATAGTCAGATCTCTGGTTGCTGCGGATATCGAGAAAATTGCGTCCACTTGCCGATACCGTGTCAGATGAGCGGGGTATGGGACCTTTACTAAGCTAAGGAGTGTGGATTGTGGCAATGTGGGAGGGGAGGAAAAAACTGTATTCGTAAGGGAGGGGCGCGAGGTATTTCAGATAGGGTAAGTTTCAAGGTAGAATCGTTCAGATGGCGTTAGTTGGGTTAGAATGGAAGAAGAGCGTGACAGCTTCGTAGTATCCCAAGTGGTTAAGGGTGAGTGGTCTGAGAGTGGGGAGGTTGTTTCTGGTGGATAGGGTGGGGCGGGGAATGGGTAGTAGGAGGTTAGTCTGGATCAGCAGTGCGAGGAGGCAGGAGAGGGGTAAAAACTCTGGGCCTCTAGAGTGGGGCGAAGCAGAGGAACTAGTTTTCATGCTGGCCAGTCGCGATCGTACGACCGCATGCGTAGCGTCGTTCCGTCCTCGATGTTGTTTATCTCTTGCGATCTTCATTTGCTTTAACACGAGTATCAGATCGTGATAGATCTTGTTTTTCTTTCCATACTAAAGGATATAAGGATTGCACACTTGACGAAAAACGTGATGTGTTCGCGAGTGTACTGTATTTGAAGATTGTATTAAGAACGACTTGCCTCGGTCCGCTTGAACGCGCAGAGCGTCGCGTGTGAAAAATCTCTCGGTCCTGTGTGTTCCTTTTCTTTCGTGCTAGTGACGTTCATTCCCGTGAGCACGTTATGCCTGACCAATATTGCCTGTTTTGTAATTGATGGATTATTTTGAGAAAGTGTCTTTTTCTGTTTAATTGTCCGTGCGAGAAATACGTACTTTGGATTAGTACAAATTTTAATTTTACCTCGTTCACTGTGCATTCTTCTCCATGCTGCTACTTGTGTGCTCCACTCCACATAATCTACGAGGCTTAAATCATACTAGGCCACGTTAATTAATAGTGCATTTAATTTTGGAATCGCTGGCTACATCGGGACGCATTCGACAGATCATCCAGTCGTATCGGTAAGTCGAAGAAATAATGGATTGTGTCAATTATGCGTTCAGTCATCATTAAGAGTCAGGTTAATGGAATGTTCTTGGCTGGGTGATTACGTGTCGCTTGACCTGAGATGTATGTACGTACGTTAATTGTATTTGGATTGAAAATCACCTGAGAATATTTTTATCGCGTGCTCCTACGTACTAGCGTTACTTTCCACGGTTCGTTAATGAGTTCTCGAAATTGTTTAGTCTCGTGTCAGAAAATTCATACAATTCTTGGCATGCAAACTTCTATCGTGGAATGATACTGCAACGCCTTCGCAATACTTAACTTCTTTTAATGTCCTATTGAATAATTTTTCGTTGCCTCTAACTCTCTCAATGCATTAATGCCTTCTGTGTTCTGTGCTGTTACTAAGATAGCTGGAATGCACAGTGACATCACGTATAGGGACGCCATACTTATTTCTTGAGAGAAAACTTTAACCACGCGTCCAGAGAACGTTGCGTCGTACAGATTAAACGCTACCCATGTATAATACATAGGATATTTATCTGTATTCTTTCTTAGTTACACGATTACGTTATTATACTGGCGTATATATACGTCAAGCGTATGTATATCTATATAGTAATAGCCTCTCTGCGGGGCTATGATTCGTGATGTGGAAGCGACTGTTCCAAATTTGGGCCTACGATGGCGCCACTGTTTTATAATAGTATGCCCTTACGGAAACTGTTGCTCGCGAAGATCAAGTCGCAGGATCCTGTGTGCATTTTTTTAATTTTTTTTCCCACTTTTAAAATAGACTGACAATCGCATTCCGACCGAGTCGCGGAAATGAGAGAAGACCAGCAAGATAAGGAGGATGAGAACACTCTTTTATCTTATTTACTCCTCCTCCTTTTGCTCTTCGCTCTCTCCTCAATCTTCTAACCTATAGTGTCATTCTCTGCTCTTCTACAGAGCAAACTATCTCTCGCTGTAGTTTCCTGTTAGCTCTCTCTTATTTACTTGTGTTCCCTCTGGCAGAGTCATTATCATTGCTGGCTGATATTGCTGAAAATTATGACAAGCTGATGTCACTAGTTTTATTTTTAGTGAATTTAAAGGAACGTTGTTTTTACTAATGTACAAATGAAATTAATTGATACGGTCCTTATCATTTAAATATAAAAAATATATGCTCGATAACCACCCGTCCTTAGCGTTGCTGTAGTTCTGTATCTTTATTTACTTTTATATTTTTTTTTATACGTCATTTTTCGAGGAACTGCGCCACGTTTCACTTTAACTTTCACTTATAATTTTTAATCATCGCGAATCCATCTCTCCATAACCTCAATAATATATGTTTAGGATCTTTTCCGTCAGTCGCCAGAATAACGTAAAGTGGCGCCCTCACGGAGCTTTGACATTCAACGAGTCCCTTCGTGCCCTATTTTGGTCTTCGGGAATACTCGGGTTCGTTCGGTGTGACGCTCCTCTCTTGCTCTTTGCCTAAGCAAGCTTCGCCACGATACCTGCAGATGGCGGTATCGGATAGTGGGACCCCATGTATGTGGGGCCCAGCCATCATATGGGACCTATTACCTATACAATGAGAAACTACGTGCATTTCAGGTACAGTCGAACCAACAAATCCTTATTCCTCAAGTGACTGTACTCACTGTGCTGTATGCATACTCAGCTCGCCGCGACGTTCCATGAGGTTCGGCAAGGAGAATGGAAACGTGTTTCTCGCTCTCCTTTTCTATACCTTGACTTTTTTCTTTATCCTACCGGTCCCCCCTCTCAATTTCCTTGTCTTTTGTAGCTCGATTTTCTAACTCCCTCTCGGCCGAGTCTACCTTTCTATAAGATATAGTTTATTTAACGAAACCATGTACCGTTTCTGATATGTTTCTTTATTTTCCTTCACATATATATTTTTTCTTTTTCGGGGTCTTAGATAATTCTGAGAAGCTCTTGTTTGAATTTAAGACCCCTTTTTTCCCTTCTCTGCAGTTATGTACGCACTGGGATACTCTTATCCAGACGTTATATTTTTTACTTCGTATAACGTACATATATGCGTATCGTTTTTCGAACCTGTATTATCTACTGTATGTGCGTGCACGGGACATGGGTGCCTTTAGTTTTACGATGGATGTTGCCCACGTAATCGTAAGAAAATGGCTGCGTTTCTTGAATGCAATAGGAAGTGTCGCGCGAATGCTGACGCGAAAGACAATATCGTGTTTCATTTTATTCTTATCAAGCAATCACAGCATACAAAAATAGCATAATAGTCGTTAATGGGGTAAACCGCGTCAGGTTTCCTCGTAATTGTATAATGACGTATAATCTGTATACGAATACTTCCAGAGGGATGAACAGCCCCGTAAGATTCGAATTTCATTTACCTAATGATGTACTGTATCATAAAGATTATTATAAGTCACTGTTTTCTTTAATATACGAGTTACGAATGATTAACAAGAAACGAGCCAAGGATATTGTTTACATTTTTCCGTGATTTTTGCTAGTAATAATTCTTCTTTCGTCGTTCTTCATGATGTAAACGATAGTTTTTTTTTTTTTAATAGTAAAACAGAAATGTCATGAAATTTCAGGTAGTTTATATAACTTTATGTATACTTTGAGTCTGATGTGAGTTGTAAGGACTCGGGTTGATTTTCGTCTGCGTCTTTTCAGTTCGTTGCGTCTTATAACGGTCCTATGTTATTTGAGGGACTGTACAAGAGCCGAACGGTTAGCCTTGAAGTCGCCTAGAAGCAAACCGACCAATGCTTTCCTCGTAGTACGCTGTAGACTGTAACGGGTGGCTGACTGGCTAGTCAGCTAGTTCAGTCAGTCAGGCCCTCGAGTCAACCGAGGCAGCTAAGTCAGCTAGGTAAGGTAACGTAGGTAGAGGAAGCTGTGCTGGCTAACAGGATAGCTTGAGCTCTACGTATATAGTATAGTCGATTCACGAGTTGAATATTTTTGTTTGTTTATTCGACAGTTGGCAGAGACTGCAATCCTTAGCAAGTGACAGGTGATTTTTCTATGGATTAACATATATATGTTAAAATATAAAAATTAAATTTCAATTCAAATACATACTCATGCGTAATTGTAAAAATTGTATCCAGAGCTCACGTGTGACTTGCTGGAGACCCTATTGGTTTTGAACTGTCCAAAAATTGATTGCAATCGTGAACAGACTATAGGTGCTTAAATACTAGGTTAGAAGACTATCGTTGGCTATACATATAGGTGATTAGCCAGCTTAAAGTCTATCTGGTTACTCTGCAGCTAACTAAACTGTCTACCTACCCTACCTACTAGACCTAACTTCCTTGGATAAAGTTGTCCTCTTGGTCGTTGAGCATACAGGCCATAGCTGAACCGAATTTGATCTTGGTATACAAATGTTGGTGTTTGATTTGATAAAAAATTGATTAAAATCGTGAACAGACTATAGCTTATTGGAGACTATGGTTGCCTATTTGGCTGATCAATCAGCTTAAAGTCTACGTTATTACTCTGCAGCTAACTAAACTTTATAACTATCCTGTCTGCTAAACCCAAGTTCCTTGGATAAAGTTGTTCTCTTGGTCATTAGGCATACAGTTCGTGGGTTCACAGAATTTGATCTTAGTATACATATGTTAGCGTTTCCAAGGAATAAACGAAATTTTTTATTTGGTTTGGGATTGTTACCATCGTTAGTGAAGTGTCGTAGCAGTGCTGTGGGCAGGAGGGAAAGTACCATTATCATAGAGGATGGAATTGAACGTGAAACCGATGTTGGTACAACAATCGTTATAGGTTATGTCGGCTGATATTCGGATCTTGTACAGCAAGGTTTCGCCGGTCGTTAACGTAGACCAGCAACCGGAAATTGCTTCTCGATTTCTCGCTCGCTACTAACTGGAAGGGTATCGAGTGTTGAAATTAGCCGAGTTTCCCTGACCCTTTCACCTCTTGTTTCCAACAATTTCGTTACCTGTCTTTTGAACTGGTGCTGCTGGATGATACGACCGAAGGTTTGTGATTAATATATTTCGATCACGAGTTTTTTTTTTTTTTTTTTGACAGTTCGTAACCCATCCAATCCTTTAGCCAATCACACGTGGTTTTTCATTAAAAAAAAAAAAAAAAAAAAA